ATGATAAACTGGATAAAGAAAATGTGGTACATATATACCATGGAATACTATGCAGCCATAAAAAGGAATGAAATCATGTTCTTTGCAGGGACATGGATGAAGCTGGAAGCCATCATCCTCAGCAAACTAACACAGGAACAGAAAACCAAACACTGTATGTTCTCACTCATAAGTGAGAGTTGAACAATGAGAACACATGGACACAGGGAGAGGAACAACATATACCAGGTCCTGTTGAGGGATGGGGGGGCATGGGAAGGGAACTTAGAAGACAGGTCAGTAGGTACAGCAAACCACCATGGCACACATATACCTATGTAACAAACCTGCACATTCTGTACAGGTGTCCCAGAACTTAAAGTAAAATTTTAGATTAAAATAAGTAAAAGTCAGTTTCTAATTCACTGGGTCTGGGCTGGGGCCTTGGAATTTGAATTTCTATCAGGCTCCTATGTGATGCTCTTGCTGCTAGTCCATGGACCACACTTTGAGGAGCAGATACCTCTTAGATATCAGAGGTCTCAAATGGGTTATTGACAGAAGTATGAGGACAGATAATTTAAGGCTGGACAGATAATTTTGAGTCCTCCATGACTCAGACCAAAGACATTTCTTTATACCTTGGAGTTTTTTTTACTTGTTTTCCCTTTAGTCCTCCTCTTCGTCATTAGTATGATTATATTGTATTACATTCTATTATTATTACTTTTTTCTTTAATTTTATTTTCTGTGCTTATCCATTATATTACTTTGTTTTTAAAACTAGTTTTGCATTCACTCAGTATTTTATGGCAGTGGTTCTCAACCTTGACTACTCTTTGTAATCCACTTGGGAGCTTAAAAAAGATCCTGATGCCTGGCCCCATGCCCAGAGAGTCTTACCCTGCACCTTATCACGCACCTTAGATACAGGTATCCTTGTTATTTTGGCTGAAAGGATCTAGCATGGTAGGTAGCAAAGCTGATTTGTTTATGTGAGGAATGAAGTGATAAATGAAAGGGTTGACTTTATATTTGTGTATATTCTAGTAAGACTCTTTTTGTAAGAAACTGAGACTCTCAAATGACTAAAGAGAAAAGCAGGAGTATGGGGGTGGGTATTGTATGGAAAATTGGCAGGTAGCCCTAAAGGGAGTAGCCCTAAACTGTTAGGAAGAGGGAGCTATAAGGACCAGCTACTTTTCTCTAACTTTCTCTCTTGGTATCATTGTTTCTCTTAGCATATCTGCTCCAGTCTCCTTTCACTCTCACCGCTGGGTGGTTTATTTTGTTTTTCTCCTTCACAGCCCCTGCTTACTCCCTGTTAACCTCAGCTTATGCGTGGGCCCATTCCTGACCTGTCTTCAGCAGCACCTACAATTGCTGACAACTTCATTTTTAATTTTTGAACATGTATTTCAAATTGCTAAGAAGAGGAATTTGATTGGAATAACATGCTTTAGGACACTGGCACACCCAAGATTTAGTTGCTGTTATTTACATATTCAGTCAATGCTGATGGGGGAGGGGCAGGAGGTGTTTGATGCCTAGAAAAAGAAATATAGCTAGGAAAGACTGCCACTTCAGAGGAGCTGTGGGTAGGACTCTTGCCTTGGGAAGGAGTCTGTGGTGAGACCAGTATTCTGTGGTTCGGTCCTTTTTATTCACTTTTTAAAAGAAAGTCATCTCTCCTCTGCATGGAAGTAGTTCAGTCATAGCATGACTTTCAGGCAGGGCCAAGAAATATAGCATGAGTTTTATTGCTCTCTTGTCTCTTCATACTTAGAGGCCAAACCAATAGGAATATCTCACAAGGTCAGCAAAGGGAATCAGTTAAGCTAAACAGTTTAAACCAAACCACCTCAGATTTGAGATATCTTAATTTGTTTTAATTCAATGTAAAAAGAAAAGAATCTATTCCATCCAAAATATCAACAAATGCATTGGTCTTAAGGGCAACAAATACAGGAGAGAGAATAATTTGGGCTTGTTCTGGTGAAGGCCTGATGGCCAGGGAGCCCCCTCTGCCATTCCTAGTCATTTTTGTTCCCCCACTGGACATGCTGCTCCCTCATTCCCAGGATCCCAAAGTGTCTCAAAAGCACAGTGGCCATCTTCTTGGAGCAGTGGGTGTGCTCATGCATGTGCTGCTGTGTACTAGGAGCAGCAGTGGAGGGATCTTTGACAAAACAGACACACAAGAGAACAAGCTCAAGCCCTTACTCCAGAATCTCAACTCCCTTCTTCTTTCTGTACTGTTTGTTGGGGGGCGAAAAATACTCTTCCTCAGTGTTCCCCTCACACAGGCTTTTAATCAGCTCTGTTTTTAGTTTTTATTTGCTGATCACTAAACTGAAGGGTAGGTCTTGTCTGTTCCCAGAGATAAAGAACTGCATGTATAACTGGTCTCTATCCAGCCAAACAAGCACCGGTTTCTCTTTGTTTTTCACAGTGTTTCTGAGAGATAAAAGGAAACCACCCAGACATGATGCATGACCATGGGAGGTTTTGAAATAATATTTTATAAACTCATTCCCTATTCTAAGTTGTAGATTAGGGGTAGAAAGAAAGGGGAAGGGCACCACATATAGCATAAGTTGATTTTTTTTCTGGGTTAAAAAATAAGCAGGCAAATATACATGTACACAGATACACACACAACATATGAATAAATGTTCAGCTGAGGAAATAATAAGCCAATTTTCAGTTATAGGCATGAAAGTCAAATAGGAAAAATTTTAGTAATGCAAATGAATATATCCCTGAAAATTCAGTCACTGTTTCCTACCACAAAAACTGCCTCTGTCATATGAATTCAAAATCAATATCAAGCCACGCCAGATATATTCCCGGAAGACTATGAGATTCAATCAGGATAGAGTCCTATTAAGTGCATGCCCTTCAGGACTTTTAGCAGTTTTCTGAGAAAGAGGGGTTGATTTGAGACAAATGATGATGCAAGGTTTTAAGTAGTATAAGACTAAACTTAAGATCCGTTGGCACTGATAAAGGCACAAAGAGTAAATGTTTTCAATAGCAAATGAAAATTATGGTAGCAATTTGAATGGGCATATTCAGTCATTTAGGAGAAATTTACTATTAAGCTAAGGAAAGAAGACTTGGGGCTGATATGATAGGACAATGGGGATGCTGCATAGGAAGATCTAACAGGAATGTTAGACAGGAGGAGTAAACCTAAGAGACAGAGAGAGTGATTAATAAAAGGGAAATTTAAGTTGAAAGCCATGACATCATTATTTCAGCAAACAGAAAAAGAAAAGAGAAGAAAGTAGTCTTACTGAAGCCAAGACTATCTTACCTACTCTGCATTACTGTTTCTTTCCATCGCTAAGCTCATGAGCTTTAGTTGCTCTATTGTAGACTCTTGTCTATATCTCATCTCCAGTGCTAGATGGTAACTTCACTGTAGGGAAAAAATATGTCTCATGGTTTCTCAAATTTCTTCACAATACCTAGTGTGGGACCTTACTGGAATAGTGGCTTAATAAATGATAGTTGGCATAATTAATTAATTAATTAATGGCTTCCTCGTGAAGTAATTATTTTTTCAAATTAAATGCTAGATTTGGGGAAACCAAAACCTGGATAATATTTCTTCCTTCTAATGTCAGGTAAATCAGAGGAGCAATTTATGAATTAAATCGTTAGAAGCTTACTTCAAAAGGTATTGGCTGGTCTAATTCTGGATATTGGTTAGGAAAATTAAATGTGTCAGTTTTAGGAGAGAGGCCGAAATCCAACAGACTTTTCATTGATCCCAGATTCATTCAATCAGACTAAACTTCAGTGATTTTTGGTTTTTGTTATTCTGACCAGTACGTTTCCTGTGTAGGTCTACTTTTGGGAAGATTGGCTTCATGAGAGCACAAGTCCTGTCTATTTTGCTCACTGTCATATCTCCAGCATCTAGAATAATCTGGCCTGGAATGTAGTAGGTTCTTAAGAAACAATTGTGGAGGGGAGGGAAGGAGAGAGTGAGGGAGGAAAGGAATCAAGAGGGAAGGGAGGGAGGGCTCTAATTTTCATACCAGATAGCCTGGCACTTACTCACCCACTCATCAGTTGTGAAGTACCCCCCCCCAGATTCTATGTTAGGCACCAAGGATACCAAAATTATGAAGTCACAGTGTTTGCTCCCAAACAACTAATAGTCTAGTGAAAGAGAAAGAGATCTAACACAACAGGTAGTAAGTGCTGTGCACCAGAGCAAATGCCACTGTCATAAAGGGAGTGTGCCAATGGGAACATCTAATTTGTCACAGGAAGGGCAGGATGCAAAACACATGGCTAACCTGAGCAGAATATTAATAAATGCAATGATGCTTTGAAGGCTTCAGAGCCTGTTATTCTCTGTGTCCTAAAACCGACTGTGGACAGGTTGAATAAAATATGGAAAACTCTAAGTCATTACATTTTAGCCATTCTCTATTCAGAGTCATTTTGATGTTAGAAGTTATTTTGTCTTGACACCATTAGACTTGGGTTTCATTCAGGTAGTACAAATGCCTAGAGTGAGTCCATCATACTTCAGCTTATCACAGAATCATGGCTTTATAACTACAGTCTTTATAAGCACAGTCTAAATAACACAAATTGAAGGTCCATTGTTTGGGCCAGATCCTACATCATATACCAGGAGTAACAGCTTTGTTAAGCATAATCAGTTAGGACTGCTGTTTGTTCTTTTCTGAGCAAATCCTTGTTCCTGTGACAAGGATTAATGATATAATAGCCAAAATGTAGTCTTTGTATTTTATAGCAACTTGTAGCAGTAAAGGTGTGTGTTTCCCATCGAAACAGCAAGTTTTCTAAAGAGGGTAGATAAACTTGACAACAAAGGAAGAATCAGTGGTAAAAAAGAATAAATTGTTGTTGACTAAGTTTATTTACATATAGTACAGGATTCTGTGGATATGATGCTAGACTTCTTAAGCAAGAAAATTCAGTGTCTAAGAAAAAAGATCCTGCTTTGACTTCTGCTTCTTTATTTCCTTATTCAGGTGCTGACTCCAGCACAGATCAAATCAATTTGCCAGGCAATTCTGGATTCTGGGAAGCAGTATGCCATAAAGAAGAGGAAACCATTCCCCCTGATGTATTCTTACTATGGAACTGAATACTTGGGTAAGTGAAGGTGTTGACATGGGCCTGTAGGATGGAGAAAGTCTCTAGTATTAATACAGAATAAAGGCTGGAAGATTTTGTTTTTGCTGTAGGTCATTACTATTCATTTAATATGAAGTACTTTAAAATGTTCTTTAAAAACGTATACTGATAGATAACACAAATCACAAGTTAATATTTGTTTTCATAGTCTACCTGACAGAAATGTAGCCATTTTAACAATTATTTTCACTAAAGACTAATATCTTTATTCAAGATTATAAGCTCATTGGCCCAATTTTTCTGAAAGATTATGAATATTTTTCACACACAATTGCAGATAATGCCTCTGCGTAGGGAAGCAGGATTCAGTGGCTAACATTCTGAAGGTTTTAATAGTAGTGGATTAACCAGACAATTGAATTGTAATGGCTAATGTTGAACTCTGGGCCATGCAAAAAAAAAAAAAAAAAGTAATTTAGTTACTCTTCTTTTGAGTCCTTCAGTGGCTCACCATTACTACTGAGCAAGATTTGCAAGGTCCTTTATGGACCACCTGCCTCTTTTTCTAGATTCAAGCTGTATCTTTACCCTCCAGGTTCTGTCCAGCATGGTCTCCCACATGCAGTGTTCTCTTTCTACCTTTGCCCAGGTTCCTTTTGTCTAGAATGCCCTACTTCTCTCAGCCTCTTTATCTATCTGTAATCATTATACCTATAATTCAAGACTCTGCTCAGACATCATTTATCTCCTGCAAAATGTTCTGTGCTTTTGGAAAGAGGGTTCTTGATTCCTCTGTGGAGAAATATTTACAAGTTTCAGGTTTTCCCCCAAAGCAAAATTGAATAATATGCTGTCATCCTGTGCGTACTTCTATTGGAGCCCTTATCACACTGTAATTAGTGGCTTACCTGCCTAACTGCCTGAGCAGGCTTTGTGCCCCTTCAGGATGGGAACATTCTCTCATTTATCTTCATGATCCCTAGACCTTTACCACAGAGCCTGCACATAAGGGAACCCAAATGAATGAATGAATATCTAATAAAGAACTTCAATGAGTCTTCTCAAAGAAATTTTACATTTCTGTTTAAGTTTCTCTAAAATCAGACCCTGAGAAAAGGATTTGGGTGTAAAAGGTTTATTTGAAACGGCAAGTTTTCTAATTTTAGAAAGTGTTGATAGAGGAGTAGAGAAATGACACAAGGAAGAGAAAGAAGCTAATTGAGTATGTAATAATGAGCAATTGTGGACAACTGAGACTCAGTTCCCCTAGGGAACTTAGAGACTTTATAGAACAGGTCTCAGAATTGTTTCACCCAAGTGGGGAAGAAGCTGGGGTATTCATCTACCAACTCTCTACTCTATTGATTGGCTGCTCCTAGAGTTGTTAATTCCCTAGCAATTATGTCCTGCCCCTTCAGGCAGGGCATACTCTGTGACCAGAGAAAGCCTCGGGCAGGATGATAGATGCTTGAGATATGAAGCTGGAGCAAAAATGCACCTGAATGGTGAGTGTGGATGAGGTGATAAGCCAGGGCACTGACAGTGTCTGCTATAGTCCCCTAATCTATTCCATTTATTTTTCTGGTTTTATTTTTTGAGATAAGATCTCTCTCTGTCACCCAGGCTGGAGTGCAGTGGTGTGATCATAGCTAACTGCAACCTCGACCTCCAGAGCTCAGGTGATCCTCCCGCCTCAGCCTTCCAAGTAGCTAGGACCACAGGCATGCTTCACTATGCCTGGCCAATTTTTAATCTTTAAAACTTTTTTATAGAGACAGGATCTTGTTATATTGCCCAGGTTGGCCTGAAATTCCTTGGCTCATGTGATCCTCCCCCCTCAGCCTCCTGATATTTTTCAGGTTTTCATTAGAGAAATTAACATTCTGGCTTTTTACATATATCACTTAAACTAGATTTCTGTCTAATGCATACGTATTTTCCTGAAAAGCAAGTTTTTTCTCCAACAATTCCAAATCCAGCAAAGTAACGGCATTTTCAAATTTCATGATCAAATGTTAAAAGCAATAGAAATTTTGACTGAATACAAACTGTAAAGCTGTTTACAGGGAGTCAAAAGTTCTGAGTATGGCAAAGTATAACATGCCTGAATACAAAGAGAAAGGTTTAAAATTATAGAGTTGAGTTTAAAGAGGAAGCCATCCACTAATCAGGATTCTACTAACTGGGAATGAGTGAAAACTCCTAGAGAGACTGGGCTTTACCTTTGTTAAGCTAACTTCTTTTCCAAAGGCAGGTTGAGGCCTTTGCTAGTTCAATACCCTTTGCTAGTTCAGAATTCTCTTAGGAATTCTCAAGACTTTGCTCAGATGACACTATCTCTATGGAATCTTCAGCATCCCCTCCACCCTTGAGGCCAAGTTAAGCTCTCCTCCATCCTTTCCATTAGTCCTTGTAGTAGTTATGGTTCTCTAGACAAACTGAATATGTTATATTATATAAATAAATTATTTATTATAAGGAATTGGCTCACATGATCATGGAGGCTGAGAAAGCCAGATCCAGGAAAGCCAATAATGTAAGTTTCAGTCTGAGTCCAAATCTGAAGGCAGGAGAAGTCCAACGTCCCAGTTCAAAGACAGTCAGGCAGAAAAAAACTAATTCTTATTCACTCTTTGTTCTATTCAGCCCTTTAGTGAATTGGATGAGGTCCACCCACATTGGAGAGGGCAATGTGCTTCACTAAGTGAACAGATTCAAATGGTATTTATATCCAGAAACACACTCACAGAAACACTCAGAAGTGACATTTAACCAAATATCTGGACACTCCTTGGTCAAGTCAAGTTGGCACACAGAATTAACCATCATACTTCTGGTACACATTTCTCATAGAACACTTACTGCCTCATGTTCTAATTATTTCTTTACAAATCTGGCTGTCTCATTGGCCTGAATGGAGAGATCTTCAAAGGTATCAACCAAATCATGTTTATCTGTATAATCAGGGTTAGACAGTGCCTAATATGCAAGTGCTGAATGTAAAGAATTAAGTAAATGGATATCAATAACTAGTATTTAACATTATAAAAGAGGGATTTAGTCTGTTTTGTGCAGTGATCTATCCTCAGCACCTAGAAAAGTATCTGGTACAGAGTAGTGCTTAATATTTGTGTGTTGAATGAATGAATAAAAAAAATGTTTAGGATACCTAGACCAAATTATTTTCAAGCATTTTAAGAAATTTTTTGTGAAAGCTATTGATATTTCAATTACAAAGTTTTAAAAGATCTCTTTTCTAAAACAAAGATTGGTCAGCAAACTTCTTCTGTAAAGGGCTAGAGATAGTAAATATTTTTGGCTTTCTGGGCCATACAGTCTCTGACACAAATACAACACTGCTGTTGTAGCCAGAAAGCAGCTACAGAAAATATGCAAATGAATGAGCATGGCTATTCTTTAATAAAACTTTATTTAGAAAAACTGGCAGTGAGCTATATTTGGCCTGCAGGCTATAGTTTGCTAGAAGCCTAGTTCTTATGTATCTTAGTTATCACATTGCTGTATGAGCTTTCAAGTAATATTGGCATTATTGTTTTTTATCCTGTTGTTTATCTTTTCACTAAATCAAACTGGTTGTCCTCCCAATTGTGTGAATTTTATGCCTTGTTTGTTAATACAGGGGCAGCTCATGGCTTGTCGTCTATTCTTCAGATGCTTCTTTCTTACCATGAGCATCTCAAGCCCTCAGATCGGGAGCTGGTATGGCAAAGCGTGGACTTTCTCATGGAACAGGAACAAAACTGCAACTGGCCACCTGAGCTTGGCGAGACCATCGAGAGAGAGAACGAGCTGGTGCACTGGTGCCATGGCGCTCCAGGTCTTACACACTCTGTTATCTATAAACATTGCCTTTCATCTAGGTTAGCCACAGGGAGGTTCCTTTTCTGAGAAGTAAGGATATCTCATCTTATGTCATTACTATGTGAGATAACAAGGTCAAGATGAAATTTTTCAAAGCCAAAAAAATCCTGATCAGTAAACAACTTCTGAAAATGGTTCTCTATATTTTAATATATATGAGCTACATCTATTTGTTTATAAAGTTAAACTAGTATTGTCCAATAGAAGTATAATATGAGTCACATATGTAATTTCACTTGTTAGTAACCTCATTAAAAAAGTAAAATCAGGTAAATTAATTTTAGAAACATATATTATAGATCTTAATATACCTCAAATATTATCATTTCCATGTGTATCCAATTTAAAAATTGAGATATTTCACATTTAAAAAAATATTCAGTCCTTGAAATCCAGCATATACTGTATTCTTATATCAAATGTCAATTATACTAGCCACGTTTCAAGTGCTCAGTACCTACATTGGATAGTGCTGATCTGGAGCCTGGCAATTCAAAATGTGGCCACAGGAACCAGTAGCATGGGCAACTGAGAGCTTGATAGAAATCCAGAATCTCAGGCCCCATCCTAAATTCACTGAATCAAAATCTACATTTTAACAGTATCCTTAGGCAAATTGTATGTACTTTAAAGGTTGAAATGTACTGTCCTACAACTCTTCTTCAAATGAAAATTTCCATCAGTACCAAAGAAAATGTCTAGAAACATGAAAAGCCATCCCCAATCATCTCTGTGGAACTGAGCCTAGAAATTTAGCAAACTGCTTCTTTTTCCCCCTTTTAAAAATTTCATCACAGTGCTAATTAAGCCTTCAGAGAAGGGGTAATTTGAAAAAAAAGTTAAATTCAAATAAATGAATTAATATGGGTTAGATGGCTAGGGGAGAGATTTAAAATACCAAAATAGTACAAAATTCTTAGGTTCCAAGTCAATTTAATTTTCAAGAAGCTTCAATTCCACAAGCACACTTTAAAAATATATTTGATTTTTTAAAGCTTTTTTAACGTTAGTTTTATTACCTCTTCCCCCCATGAATTAATGTTCTTTAATCCAACTATAATTTCATTTTGGGGGGTTCAGTTTGAGTTGATGAATAATGATCCCAGAAAGTATAGTCTTGAGTTGATGAGTAATGTAAGTTGCAGTCCATTGGTCATTTTTTTTTTCTGCCTGCTACATTTACCTATGAAAGAAAGTTCAAAATATGTGCTTGTACCAGTATCCATGCATTGTGTATTATGTCCAGGCTAACTCCTGCCAGTTATAATTTGAGTCTATTTCTTTTTAATTTGGCCTTTTTGGGGAAAAACAAGTTGTTTACCATGCTGGAAATGATACTCCTTCTCGTTATGCTCAATTCTCCCATTTTTCATTTATTTTAATTATTCTCAATGATGGTCTCTGTATATCCTCCAAGCATCCCAGCCAGGATCCTTGAATTTTGGAGATACCCTAATTTAAACACAGAATATTTTAAAAGCATTCAATGTGCTAGTAAAAGTCCTGAAAAAAAGTGGGACGATAATCTACTAAAATGAGTGACTGGGTCAGTTAATTGTCTTACAGGGAAATTATTCCATCCTTTCTGTACACTAAATGCCATCTGTCTTTGTAAATCATTTGCCATAACAGTGCATAGAATTCATCACTTTGGAGACTACATCCTCCTTTATCATTCATGTTCAGTATCTAGAGAATATTAAACATAGATTTTAAAGAAAAATCATTCAATCCACGTATTCACTGAACTACCAAAAATAAACCAATTCACAACTGAATAAAAAACTAAGTGGGGCCCATTATTTCTACCAACCCCTACCCCCATCTCAAGGGTATTGGTCTTTCTTTGAATAGATGCTCTAAAAACAGCGTCAAGATTGTTTATAAGTCCAATAAATGCAGTCCAGGGACCACCAAGATTTTGCAGAAGTTGGCAACAGCAAACTCTCTAAAAATTCTCTGCAGGAAATGAAGTATAAAATAATTTTCATTTATTTAAGGAAAACATTTTTGAGAGTAGATTTATGAACAGTGCAGATGGTTTGAGGCAGCAGACAAATTCTGTGATTAAAAACCTGCTAGAAATAATCCACAATGTGGAGCTTCGTTAATGATACCTTATCTGTTTCTGTAATTGTTACCTGTAGAGGTGGATTGTTCCTTCAACCCACCTCTACACGTGACAAGCCTAGTTATCATTTATACACTGTATAAATAGTTCTTGACTCGAAGTTAATAACTCCAGCTTCTAATTTCAGCTCCAACACTAACCAGTTTGCTGACCTTAAGAAAGGATTACTTTCTTTCTTTTCTGCCTTTGTCTCTTTATCTGTAAAATGAGCACATTGAGACTCACTAGTGGAACTCAATCATTTCATCACCATAGACCCCCTTTTATACTTTGGACCCTTGCCATTCCTGAGGGCTGTCTCTCAAAAGCTTTGTGAACAAGACATCTATAAATACCTTGTGTGGCACTGGCACATAGCTTTTTCTTAATAAGTGCAATAAAGTATTACAGGAAGATTAATATGACCTCTTCATAACCTTGATGATTCTGAAATACAGGACCAAAGTCATTTACAAAATCATTAAAACAAATGCTGTGGTTAAAATAAACTCTCAACTGCATTAGGTTACATCATTGCTGTGGTAACACTGACAGTGCATTTCCTTGACTCTGCATGAAGTACAGATGTGGGCATTTTTTTTAAAAAACTCATTTTGTAAAGGTTCCTGGGTAGGTGACTTTGAATAAAGAACAACAAGGCTTTTGCAGGACAGATATCATCGGTCATTAAGCTCTGTAGTGCACACCATAAAATGCATGCCTCAGCGAAATTACACAACTCAGAATGGACCTGAGTGGTGATTCTCCAGTATGTTGAAGCTATACGTGCCAAGTCTGGCTGTCAGAAGGCCCTGCTAGATCTCATATTTTCTGAAGTTTAGTCTCTCAAACCATATATATTAAGTAACAATTAATTCCTTTCCCAGTTGCATTTAGCAAAGACATCATTGCTGACTCAGACTTCTCATCAATGCACAATAATTAGTGTTCCTATGATGAAATGATATGGTTCCTGATTCCTATCAAAAGGAAAGAAACCGACCATTCCTTTTTTTTTTTTTCAATTAAGCCACCTTATTGTGACTTCCATTATGTTGGGTAAGGAGCCAAATGGGTTTAGAAGTTTTGCAAGGTCACTTCCATGTACCATTCTGTGATCCAGCATGCAGGAAGAGGCTCTTTCACCCTGGCCAGAACCACAGGATCAATACCTTTTAATCTGTCTGGGACTCATGGCCTGGTATAAAAATTAGACCATCTCACCCTTCTTCCTTCTACATCTCTCATCTATACCCCAGTATCGGCCTATGCTGAGGTGAGAAATGGGGCACTTTATGGTCAACAGACATTTATGAGGTTCTTGGCATTTGCCAGACACCATGCCACACACTAGTGGAACAAAAGTGAACAAGATACAGTTTCTGCTTTTGAGTAGTTTGCATGGTATTAAGGGAGCTGGCAATGGAAATAGGTAATTTTAAGTGGGTTCTGTGTAAGTGCTAAAGTTTGTATAGGGAGAAATGAAAGCTCAGAGGGGTTCCTCGTGCTGCCTACAGGCCCAGGCAAGGCTTCCTGAAGGTTGTGATGCTTGAAGCAAGTTAGCCAGACCAAGAAAGGTACAAAGCTTATTCCAAGAAAAGTGAACCACATTGGTAGTTAGAAGTATGAAAACACTGCAGGTTGTTTGGTTCTACTGAAGTGAAAAGATTCAAGAAGGGAATGGAGGAGAAGAGTTGGGAACATAGAAAAGGAGCTCAGTCACAAAAGGCTTTCTGTGTCATGCTAAAGCATCTGGTTAACAGGGAGTCATTTTGGTAGTTTAAGCAGGGGAGTGTCATGGTCAGATTACTGTCCCAGAAAGGCCACTCACTGCCACTGAATGAGTTTAAGGCATGGCAGACCTGAGGGCAGGAAGCTAAAGCAATCATCTAGGAAGGACACTAAGAGCCTGAGGGAGGCCAGCAAGAGCAGGGCCTTCCCACCCACCCTTCCTTTGATTGGCTGTAATGCCCTCACTCTTCAACAAGCTATTTGCTCAGGGTCTAGAAGCAGAGCTTGCTATCAAGAGAAACCTGTAAGGGAGCAGGGAAGCAGAATAGGCCAAAGAGGACCATGTCTTACCTGGAGGCTGGCTTCACCCTGAGTCTGAGGAGAAGCTAAGAAACAGATTATATCAAGAAGCTGGGTCTCTCTTGAGGCAAGGAAGCTGATATTTTGTATCCCTGGGTTATCCCTGTGTCATCCCTTTGAGGAGTGGCTGCATAGCATAGCCTCTCATTTGTCTGAGGGAAAATCTCTCAAGAAGATGCAGCAGTGAGCTTTATTAATTGCCAGCTCTCACAGGAACTAGGAAATGAGGCATTTGGTCTGTAAGGTAAAGCTGATCCATGCAGGTCATCAACACCATCCAGTACACCTAGCTAATTCCTTACCAACCTCCAATAATCAGATTAGATTGTTTCACTCCTCTAGTAGTCATTTCCTTCTACCACATATGGGCTGGGGGACCTCCTGTGTGCTTCCATGAGACTTCTATTGCCCCTCACATAGTCTAATACTTCCAGTTAAACTGAAAAACACCATGAAGATAGAGACTTTCTAAATGCTTAGCACCTACTGCTGTGCCTGGCATATAGTAGATGCCCAATTAATATTGAAACATTTACCAAGTTTTGCAAAATGTCTCTTTCATTGGCTTTCTATTTTTTAAGAGAAGCTTTTCCCTTTTTATAAACTAAGGTGAAATTTACATAATATACAATTAACCATTTTATTATTTTTTTAATTTTCTCAACTTTTATTGTGATTCATTGGGTACATGTGCTGGTTTGTTACATGGGTAAACTGCATGTCACTGGGGTTTGGTGTACAAAGGATTTTGTCATGCAGATAGTGAGCATAGTACCAAATAGATAGTTTTTCAACCCTTACCCTCTTTCTACCCTCCCTGCTCAAGTAGACCCCAGTTTCTATTGTTCCCATATTTATGTCCATGTGTTCTCGTCATTTAGCTCCCACTTATCAGTGAGAACATGCAGTATTTATTTTCTGTTTCTGCATTGGTTTGCTAAGGATAATGGCCTCCAGCTCCATTCATGTTCCTGTAAAGGACATGATCTCTTTTTTATGGCTGCGTAGTATTCCATGGTATATATGTACCACATTTTCTTTATCCAGTCCACCATTGATGGGCATCTAGGTTGTCTCCATGTGTTTGCTATTGTGAATAGTGCTGTGATGAGCATGCAGATCACTTTTGTCTTTCTACCAACATAATCAGCCCACAACTGCCCTGTTACCCTTCTTTAGGTCTATCCTGACACCACTAAAATTGGGACATTTTGTCCATAATAATCACATTGTCATACAAAAATAAAAGCCAACCAGTCCATGACAAAAACACTTTCATTGGTTCCCTGATGATCATAGAGTACAGTCTAAGCTATCTAACTAGATTTGTAAAACCATCCATAATCAGAACCCAGTCTAGCCTTCTTCTTCACTGGTCTGTTGGTTAGAACATTGCCCCGTTAGCTTTCCTGTGGCTTGTCCTTTCTGGCTCCATATCTTTGCCCTTACTAATCTTGGTGCTAGATAGAATGCCCTCCCTGCTTCATCTTGAGCCTAGAGTTTACTATGTATCCTTCAAAGTTCTGAAAAAGTGCTCCTTCCATCTAGGGCCTCATCACCTATCTCCATAGGGAACTTCCACCTTTCTGATTCCAATAGTATTATTGAGAGAACCATTTATTTTATGTTCCAGCAGCATCATGAATTACATATCCTATTATGTATTAGTCATAAGTATATATTTTTATCTCCCTTTATAGAGAGTGCCTTCTTGAAGGGTGGTAGTCATGTTTAACATTTATTTAATATCACCCAGTGCTGGAACTGAGTATATAATTTGGAAGGCCCACAGAAAAATGAAAATTCAAGTTCTTTTTAGAAAAATTATTGAGAATTTCAAGGTGGTAATAGCAGAGCATTAAACTCAACATAAGACCCCTTTAAGGAGTATGGGCTGTAGGAGTTCACAGGTGGCATGCCCATGAAGCCAGCCTTTCCTAGGGCTGTGCATGCAGTACATAATCAATGACTACTTTCAAATGAATGGGTGCAATGAATGAATGCATGGTTAAATAAATTCAGTTCTTTTAATATAATTCTTTAGTTTGTGCAAGATACTTTGTTCCTAAAACTGAAGTAGGAGAATGCTGTAGGTAACCATTGTCAATAGTTGACTGGAAAGCATTGACTGAGCAAAGAGCTTGTTGCTATGTAAGTATTAATCACAGGGTATATTAAAGGATACACTTAAAAAGAGAATGAAATCATGACTCTCATACAAATATAAAAAGGATATGTGTGAACCATTTTACTGAGCTCATTATTTAATGAGGGAACCAGAAGGATGTTACAACTGTTTCAAAGGAAAATCCAAAGAGTAGACATATTTATATGGGCTATTAGGGATGCTGAAATAAATTTGCTTAATAAATGTAAAACTGGTTTCTTCCACAGAGGCAGAGGGAAGTCAACCTCTACTAGACAGAATGTGAGTTTCTAGGGACAACAAATATTTACATTACTATCAGTTTTCTATAAGACAGTTTCTATCTCTACAGAGTTGTAAAATAGCCTAGTCAAAGCAATAAAAGGCAATGATAACCCAGATTGATGAGATAGTCCAGATATCAACTATATTTCAGTCTTTCACACTTTTTATATAGGAGAAAGGTAGGTTATGCAGGAAAGAATGTGATCTTGTGATATCAACCTCCTCACTGAATATGAACACCCAGAACTTGGGGAAGATCATTTCTATTAATAGCTGTTGCTCCTCTTGTTTCCATTTCTGCCTTTGTAATTGATACTACTTTTGTTAAAGAGCTTTGAAGGAACAATGCTTTCCTTGGAACAATCGGGGTGGGAAGGGCTCACTTCACAGCTGAAGTAGAAGTCTTGGCAAGGTCCTTCTGGAGCATTGTTTTTCTTGGAAAGACGCCCAGTTTTGCTCTTAAGAAAATGTACATAGTTATAAGTACTTAAACATTACAAATGTAAAACTACAAATTCATTACAGGATAAATATTTAGCCATTTCAAATAACCAAATATTATATAATGCTTACTAGAGTATACATCATTAAATATTAACCCATTTGTAAATTAAATTTTAGATTTTATCTATATACGTCAATTTAAAATGTTGCTTTTTCTCCCAGAGCCAACCCCACATTACAATTAAAACAAATTAAAATCTTACCAGAAAATTAGACCCTTATAGAACATTCTAGCACCTTCCTACTCAAAGTGTGGTCTTTAGAAGGATGCTTCTTAGAAATGTAGTATCTCAAGCCCCACATCAGAACTACCATATTAGAATCTGTGTTTTAACAGTACTCAGGTTATTCATGAGCTTTTTATAGTTCTATAAGTTCTGCTCCAAAATATTAAGTCCTGAAAGTTACCTCTAATGTCTTTGATGTTTTCACAGGAATTGCCTATCTGTTTGCCAAAGCTTATCTGGTTTCCAAGAAACCGCAGTACCTGGACACATGTATTCGGTGTGGGGAGCTCACGTGGCAGAAAGGCCTGCTAAAGAAAGGGCCTGGGATTTGCCACGGAGTAGCTGGCAGTGCCTATGTCTTCCTGCTGCTGTACCGGCTCACAGGAAACTCTAAATATATCTACAGAGCTCAAAGGTCAGCTGATATTTATAGGTCTTTTTTTTTTCAAAAATTAATTAATTTTCTGAATTAGTCATATAGTCACATGGTTTGAAAAGTGTAAAAATAAATACATCAACTGTGCCCTGCAGCCATGCAGTTGACTTCTCTAGAGATAGTTTCTGGGTTATCTTCTCAAAGATATTCTGTATACATAGTGTATAGGTAAATGTCTTAATCCATTTGAGTTACTATAAAGGAATACTTGAGGGTGGGTACTTTATCAAGAAAAAGTTTCCTTTGGCTCATGATTCTGCAGGCTGTACAAGAAGCATCACTAACATCTGCTTCTGGTAAGAGCTTCAGGAAGCTTCTACTCATGACAGAAGAATAAGGGAAAACAGATATCACAAGGGGAGAGAAGAAGGGAGAGAGGAGGAAAGTGCCAGGCTCTTTTAAATAATCATCTCGTGGGAACAAATAGAGTGAGACCTCATTCATTACCAGGAGGATGCATCAATCTGTTCATGAGTGATCTGCCTCTATGACCTAACCATTTCCCACTAGGTCCCATCTGCAATACCGAGGATCAAATTTCAACATGAGATTTGAAGGGTAAAATATCTAAACTATAATACATACATACATATGTGTGTGTGTATTTGTTCACATATGTGTGTGTGTGTGTATTTGTCCACATATGTGTGTGTATGTGTGTATTTGTCTCTCTTTTTTATACAAATGATAGCATCTTGCTATCTTAGTGATCACCCTATATCAGTACAGAAAGAGCTTCTTTAAACATTTTTATTATTGCATAGTATTATATTATATGAGTGCACCGTAATTTATTTAACCAGTCCCACATAGGAAGATATTTAGGTTATTTCCAATACTGTGTACTACAAATATTGCTATGATGAATAATCTTGTGCATACATCACTTTACATATGTATAGGTATATCTAAAAGATAAATTTCTGGAAATGGAATCGTTGGGCCAAAGGAGATATATATCTTGTGTGTGTGTGTGTGTGTGTGTGTGTGTGTGTGTATACATATATTATATATACATATCTCCTATATGTGTTGTATAAATAAATATATATAAATACATATATTTGTAATTTTGACAGACAATATACAATTTTCCTCTATGGTTTATTTCCTGTAAACCTAATAAAGGTGAAACATCTGCTATATACCAGACAACATTGCTTTTAATAGATATTACCTCTGACTGGTGATCTGGGGAAACTGGGCCGGGGACCATAAATGAACTATAAATAATCTGATAGAAAGCACAGGTAGGGGCTTCCCTGAATGCAGAGTGGCATGAAAGTGGCATTCACTTTAAAGGGACTTAGAAGGTGTCTGTAACCATGAATGCTTACAAAAGACATTGTTTTCCTGTGTGGCACCTAGGTCTTCTAAGCCAGAGTGGTCTTTCATACCCACCCATGTAGTCTGGTTTCCATCAGTCTTAGCTGTCACTTGGTGGAGGTGGGAGGGGGTGCTAGAGTAGCACCTGTACTGTTACGAAGATTCCCACTGAAAGTGCGTAACTGATGATTATCAAATTGATTGTGTGACATTTAACAAATCACTTATTACAATGAGCTAAGTGACTTAAGTGTCACACAACTTTTAGCAAGTCACTCAGCTCATTTTAACAAGTGATTCTTAATATTTTCATTCATAAAATACAGAAAATAGTACTTACCTCATAGGGATGTTTGATAGTTTAAACTAGTTAATATATGAAAAATTGTTTAGAATAATGCTTGGCACATAGTAACTGCAATGTAAATGTTCATTGTTATTACTATAATTCCAGACTTTTCTTTATACATAAATGTTTGTTCACATAGATGTATATCTGTACATGTATATTTTAATGAGCTCCTACTACTATAGATGTGTAATAGTTCTATACATACTGTTTATAGCTTGCTTGCCTATTTATTTATTTGATACGGGTTCTCACTCTATCACCTAGGCTGGAGTACAGTGGTGTGATTCATGGCTCACTGTAGCTTGGAACTTGTGGGCACACCTTAGCCTCCTGAGTAGCTAGGGCTACAGGATCATGCCACCGTACGTGGCTGATACCATCTGGATCTGTGTCCCTACCAAATCTCATGTCTAATTGTAATCCCAGTGTTGAAGATAGGACCAGGTAGGAGGTGATTGGATTCTGGGGACAGAGTTCTCATGAATGGTTTGGCAACATCCCCTCTTGGTATTCTATAGTGATAGAATTCTCAAGAGATCTGGTTATTTAAAAGTGCATAGCACTTCCTCCTGCCCTCTTGCTCCTGACTAGTGGAACTCAGTCTTTCCCAGAAGCTGCTATGATTCCTGTACAGCCTGCAGAACTATGAGCCAATTAAACCTCTTTTCTTTGTAAATTACCCAGTCTCAGGTATTTCTTTATAGCAGTGCCAGAATGGAGTAAAACAACTGTTATTATTATTATTATTTTGTAGAGACAGGATTTTGCTATGTTGCCCAGGCTGGCCTTGAACACCTGGCCTCAAGCAATTCTCCTGCCTCATCCGCCCAAAGTATTGGGATTACAGGTGTGAGCCCACCACCTCCCCACTATGTTTGCAGCTTATAATTTTAAATGAACAGTTTTGAAGGGCTATTCTTTATTTCATTTTGTATAAATATATCTCATTTTTAAATGGCTATATAGTTACTCACTGTGTATGTACCATAATTAACCAATCCCCAAATAATGGACACTTGGTATGTATGTAATCTTTACTAATACAAACAAAATTTCCCCAAATATTCAATACATATATTTGTGTACACTTGCGAAAGCACTTGTCAGAGATATTTTAGAATTGAAATCATTAGGTCCATAGGTATTTCTAGGTCCATAACTAGCCTGTCTTTATCCTTTGCCATTTTTTTCCTGTTGTGATGCTTCTATTCAGGATTGTAACTCTTTGTCAATATATGTTGTAAATATTTTCCTGCTTTGCCATTTCTCTTTTAATTTTGTCCATAGCCTTTTGTCATACCAAACTTTTAAGTATTTTTCTTGTCAAAGTTTTTAATCTTTTCTTTAAAATCTCTAGATTTTGTGTTATGCTTTAAAAGACCCTTCCCAATTCAGGATTAGAAAACAATTAATTTACATGGGCTTATCATAATTTTATGATTTTATTTTAACATTAAAATTTTTGATTCTGCCAGAACTTTTTAAATAGTGTCAGATGTGTATCTTTTTTTGTTTATTAAAAAAATTCTAATAGCTTCTGTTGACCAGTTACCCCCATAATTTGAAATTCCAATTTTTTCATAAACTGAATTGATATAAATATGAGTTCCATACTTTCCCCTATTCCACCTATTATTCTCTCATTTATTCTTTAAATTGTATTTTATAGTCAATTTGTCATAGTTAAAAAAATCTTACAGAAATTTGATTAGAACTTCATTGAATTTACAGGTTACTTAATGAGAATCAACATCTTTAGAATATTGAGTTTTTCCATCTAGGAACATGGCATACCTTTCCATTTATTTAAGTTTAAACAAATGTAATTTGGTAAGGTTTTGATCTTATGAAAAAGGTCTTGTATGTTTCTTGTTAATTTTATTCCTGGGTATTTTATGTTTTCAGGTTTATTGTGAGTGGAATCTTTTCCTTCATTATATTTTCACACCATTTATTTCTGGTATATATGAAAGCTCTTAAAACATACACATCACTGAATCTTTTCTATTCTAACATGTAATTTTTAATATAAATATAGATTTTATCTTATAACTATTTTACTTTTTATAAATATTATAATAATATATCTAGCTGCCTTAATTAACTCCATTACTGTTTCTATTAGTTTTTTATTAGATTCTATTGGGTTTTCTAAATAGATACACATACATCTGCAAATAACTATGATTCTGTTACTTCCTTTCTCATATGCATGGTGGTTTTTTTTCCCACTACTTGGTTCTCTATAACAATTCAACCCTGTAAAAATGTTCAATAGTAAGAGTGGTAGTAAACACCCTTGCTTTTTATGCTGATTTTATTAGGAATGCTTCGTTTTTTACCATGGTTTTTATATCCACTTCTTATAATGTTTATTCTGTTAGATTATAACACTTCTCTGATAAGTGTAATCCAATAGCTTCCTATATGATTCAGAGTAAATGCCAGTCTTTCCTATGAATGAAAGGTCCTACATGATCTAGCTTCCCATTACCTCTCTAATCTCATTCCCTACTCTTCTTCCACCTGGTTCTTTCCAACACTGTGGCTTCCTTGTAATTCCATTAGGATGCCAGGTAGACTCCATCTCAAGGCCTTGGAAGTTTTAGTTCCCTCCACCTGTAATGCTCACTTTCTACATATATCTCCTAACCCCACATTTCATTCAGACTTTGACTCAAAAGTCATTTTCTCATAAAGGCCTTCCCAAGCCAACTTATCTAATATTTAATGTTTAAAAAACATAAATTATTTTTCATGATATTTACATGAATGCACTGAATGGCAAATACTAACTTATGTAAGTCTTCAATTTGAAGCTCTATTGTTTAGGAAATCTCTTTATATATTTGATTCATGGTTTCCTTGAAGCCAGATCTTTTGTTTCCCAAATACAGAAAAAGAAAGTAATTTTGGATATCATCTAGGCTAGTGGGATTTCTCCTTTGGGCTACATTTCATCAGAAATGAATGAAATTTATTCATTTGCTATAAAGTCTATTAAAAGGGATCAGAACACCTCTATTTTCTTTTTTGTAATTTTTAATATTTTAACTTTTAAAATTTTGTGTAAATGTATGGGATTCAAGTGTAATTTTGTTATTTGGATAGATTGCATATTGGTGAAACCAGGGCTTCAGGGTATCCATCACTCAAATAACAAACTTTGTACACATTATTTTCTGGCAGGCCAGTCCTAGCTTACAGAGTCTTGGTTATAAGATTTGGGGTCCAGGGCTCTAAAGAGACAACTTACATTTTTTACTAACAGGTAGATTACTGGAAATGTGCAGGTAATATCTGTATTGTTTGGGTATTGTGTGAACAACTCTGCAACCGAATGTGTAGGAAAGAGACTATTCCAATGAACAGTTTGCAAACAAAGGATATACAGCTTGTGGTGTAGAGTGAAGCAGGCTTTCAGAGAACAAGAGAGGCTGCCCAGGTCAGGTCCTTTTATACAAATGAAGGATTGAAACTCAGTTCCTGTTGGTCAGTGCAGCTGAGCCCTGATTGGCCAGGGCAGGTGACTCTGTTTGGCTTAGGTGTGATCTGATTGATTAGTTTCCAGGCTCAAAACCAGAAGTCTCTGTCACCTGTTTCTTCCAAAGGTGGGTGGAGGGCTGGCGTATCTTGGCACTCACAACAGGAACTGGTTTGGAGAAAGAAAGGTCCGGTGATGCTTTTACATCTTTCTCAGAACACAGAGTACATGATCACTCCCTCACCCAGCCATAGCTACCTGATTCTGTTTTAACTTGGAGCACCTCATTTTGCCATGGGGAACCCATTTTGTTTATTGGCTAGGGGCATACTTTAACAATTGCATGTTAAAAAATATGTACCTCCCTAAAATGAATATTACTTGGTTGTCATCTATTATTTAACATACAGTTGGATTTTATGGCTGCAGAAAAATATTTGACAACTTCTTAATTTTCTTTTATGCTTATTCAATTACTTGGGTTTTCTAACTCTTCTTTTTGGTAGTGAATGTATTTCTATAAAGCTATCTAGTTCATATGAATTGTCAAATTTTTGACATAGAGCTCCAATAATATAGTTCCATAATATTTTTAATTTTCTATCCCTGTGGCTATGTGCCCTTTGTGATTTCTAATGCTTTTCCTTCTTGGTCAGATGCACCAGTGTTTTTTTCTATCTTGCTAATCCTTTCAAGGAACTAGCTCCTGGTTTTGCGTATTAATTTTTTTGTTTTTGTCTTTTGTTTACTTTCCACTGTTACTTCCCTTTATTTTGTTATGTTCTAGAGTTTTAAAATGCATAATTAGAAAGCATTCCATCATTTTATTAATAATAATAGTAACTCACAAATCTGTGAATTTTCTTCTGCATTCATTTTGGCATAAACAATAGGTTTTGATAAGAAATGTTTTCATATTTTATTGTGTCTTCCATTCTTTTTAGTTCTGTAATTAGCATACGGACTTCTATTTTGACTGGGAACATTTTAGAAAAAATAATTTGTTTAATTTCGAACCACTGGATAGATTTTTGAAATATGTTTTTACAAATAATAACACATAATATAGGTCAGAATACAATGAAACTGCTACTTTCAGACATTGCTGGTACTATTTTAAGTTGCTATGTATCATTTAGAAATTATTTTGAAAAGCATAGAAAATATTTTGCATATTTTAAGTGAAAAAAATACAGTATACCAAATCATATATACTTTAATAACATGTAATAATGCAATAAATAAATGAGTGCATGGAGGAAAAGGTCAGAAGAAGAGCTAGCAACATTGTGTGTTTCTTCTATAGCATGGTTTTACAAATCATCTTTCATGATTATGTTTTACAACTTTTTTATAATATGCTTATGTAAAAAGTAATGTTTTCCATTTACTGAATGATTGCTGTATGCTCAGAGTCTAATATATGGTATCCTTTATCTTTACATATAACACTATCCAGTTCTGCAACTTCACCATTTTAAAGTCAAATTGAGAAATTTGCTGAAGGTCATACAACATGAAATTATCAAAATAGTGTATCTCAGCTCCAAAGCCCTTGCTCTTTCTTCTATACCAGGGATGCTTAATCTAGGATTTGTGAGTTTGCTTGAGAAAGTGATTGTGTCTCAAACTTAAATGTAGCATTTCCTTCCATTCTGAATGTAGGTAATAAGTCACAGAATATTAGTAGATGTGACTTTGCAAACAATATAATTAATAGATATTCTCATGTGGTATTACTCTTTTTATAGATATTATAAAATAAGTTATATTCACGTCACTAGCTAGAAATGTTAGCAATTACTAAACCCAATACTATATCTTGGCATTTAATGTGTTAGCAAATAATACATATGTTATTACATCACAAGTATGGCTTTTAAATTATTGTTGTGTTTTAATATAATTAATTTCCTTTGGAATCCTGTGTGGTTTATTTTATACACTTGAAAACTTTTTTTTTTCCCCTGAGGAGCCAGACTGATGCTATATCATGAGATGCTGGCTGTATTCTGAAGTAACTCTTCTGATGCATTATTATTCTACTGTTTAAATTTTAAATTTCATTTTAAAATTGTTACATATTCAGGAAAACAGTTATAGAAAAATTGTACCAAATACAATTGCAGTCTGTTTCTTCCTGATTTATTTAAAGCTGCCATATGTAATTCAAAGAGCCCTAAAAAAAATCAAATAAATAATTATCCTTTGTAAGACCCCCTATATAGTAGCAGTAACCTAAATTTATGATAGTATCAGTGCTTGGGCCTTGCCAAGCTATGAACTCCAGCCTCTGAATTGGTGATTATTTGTGTTCTTGATGAGAATGAGTAGAGCAAGTCAGTAAAAAAGATGATGTAGGTAACAACACTTTGAAAGCTGTAAACCACCATAAAAATATTACTTATTATAAATAATCTGAATAGTATTTTAAGTTGATATGTATCATTTAGAAATTATTTTGAAAAGCATAGAAAATATTTAGTATATTTGTAAGTGAAAAAATACAGTGTAACAAATCATATATACTTTAATAACATGTAATAATGCAATAAATAAATGAGTGCATGGAAGAAAAGGTCAGAAGAAGAGCTAGCATTTGTGGTAAATATGGGTAAAAGGAAAGAGGTCTTTCATAAGGAATTTAGAGGTCTGTGATTTAATTTAAGGCGGATGTCTCAAAAATAATCTGTCACATAGCTGCATTTGCTATTTGATGATATCATTGTAAAAGGTTGCTGTCTTTTCCTATTCATCTTATTCCCTTGTTTGCTCACAGCACAGATTGTATAAAATCTTGCCCATTTATTTTCAAAGTCTCTGTTTTTGTCACATGTGAAAGAAAAACCTAGATCGGAAGTGATACGCCTGCAGAAACACAGCATATTTACCTTTTTAAAGGAATAGTCATATATCAGTTTGCTTCTTTTCAAGATAAATAAAAGTAGAACAATTTGTCTGGCTTTTTTTTTAAAACTTTAATTACTGGATGACAGAGAGATTGAAATCCTTTGCTTTGCAAACTCTGAGAATAGTTGGATTTGCTTGCCAGCATAATTTGTTGTGAAACATATACAGTTATATAATGGATCTTCTCCTTTTTTTAACAGAGAAAGTGTGTTTCTTAAAATACTTAATTATATAATTCTGGAAAGAAAATTATGCTAAAACTTTAATAGAAGAGAAGGAAGCAACCCAAGGTCCACAATATGGAAACATTAATGTTAAACTGTTCATATTTTCTTCTTCCCCTAGGTTTGCTCAGTTCTTATTTACTGAGGAATTTAAGGCTGGTTCTCGGGTCCTTGAAAGTATATACAGCTTGTATGAAGGCTTCTCCGGGACAGTGTGCTTTCTGATTGACCTGCTACAGCCCAATCAGGCTGAATTCCCTCTCTTCAGCGTCTTTGTTTAGAAGGCTCCATCTTCCACTGTGGCCCTGCAGAGATCCCCTGAGATTTTCTGAGCCAAGCTGAAGCAGTTTCCACATAAGCCACATTCAATGGTATCACAACCATGAGCCTTAACATTGCCACCAGAGGGAAGGAATCAGGCAGGTGAAGGCAACATGATGCCAGACTTGAGAGAGGATCTGCAAAATAAAGATACCACAACTCATCTGAGAACTGTAGAGATTTAATGTTTCAGGGAATAGATGTGAAACTAGGGATCATAGGAAAAGGGGAAATAAAAATGATCTGTTTTTTAGCTATACATAGAAAACCAAACAAAGTGTGGACTATGGCAAGAAATATACTAATACCTTTGCACTATGAATGAGAATTTGACCATTTGTGTGTGCCCTCTACCCCTAAATTCATAAATAAAGACAATCAAAAACTAAAATAATTGCCCAGCTGAAAACTGCTAGGAGGGATGAATTGTGAGGTTGCTGACATACATTAAAAAAACTCTTGGTTGTCCTGTGCTTATACTTATTGAAATTTATGGTTTTTACTGAGTAAAGGTATTTGCATATGAATCTATTTTTTTCATTATCCTGGGCAATTTAAAGAAATCATATCATAACTTAGGTCAGATACTAAAATGTAAAGTTTTCTTAGGCCTTAGAACATCTCTTTTCCTCGTTTCTTTTTTCCCCAAAGCTCAGTTAGAATAGCAAAATGTATAAGCTAGTAAATGTATACTATAGCAAGTGTTGCTGTCAAGTGTTTCTCCAAAGGAAGTGTGAACTGTGTATTGTCTATTGTTAGTAATTTGTAAAATGCCTTTATGTACATAATCTTTATGAAGCTATTAGCTGAACTATTAAATATACTCTTGGTAAAAATCACTAATTTCAAAGATCAGGGTAACCACTACAAAGATGTGTCATTTCTGCCATTGTCTGGGACAGGTAGACACAGGCTGAGAAAGTCATCAGTGATTGTGGAAATAATTTTGCTCCATCTTATACTATTAAATGAGGAGATAAGTGAATTCTGAGGTTAGTTACCTTACCTTCCAAGACACAGGGTACACTAGAAATTAGCTACAGTGCTCATTGAGCCAAGTTGTCAGATCAAATTCAACCCTGCTGTAAACACACAGAAGCTGTGAAACTGCTTCAAGTATTGGTTTGCAGAATACTATAGGAGCATCTGTCACTTCAATATGCAGAGCATGAGTTGACCCTTTTCCTAGAATTTGGTCAGTGGCAATTTCATATATCAGATTGAGTAGGAAATTATATACTGTATAAGACTTATTTAAATAGTCAAATATTTGAAGTGTGTGTGTGTGTGTGTGTGTGTGTGTGTGTGTGTATTCCATAGCTATTCCCATGTAAATCCAAATACTTATCTTTAGTTCAGTAATTCTTTTTTTTTTAAGTTCTGGGGTACACGTGCAGATCTTGCAGGATTTTTACATATGTATACACATGCTATGGTGGTTTGCTGTCTCCATCCCCTCATCACCTACATTCGGTATTTCTCCTAATGTTATCCCTCCCCAATCTCCCCACACCCTACTATCCCTCCCCTAGCCCACCAGCCCCCAACAGATCCCAGTGTGTGATGTTCCCCTCCCTGTGTCCATGTGTTCTCATTGTTCAATACCCACTTACGAGGGATAACATGCGGTGTTTGGTTTTCTGTTTTTGTGTCAGTTTGCTGAGAATGATATTTCCAGATTCATCCATGTCCCTGCAAAGGACATGAACTCATCCTTTTTAATGGCTGCATAGTATTCCATGGTGTATATCTGCCACATTTTCTTTATCCAGTCTATCTTTGACAGGCATTTGGGTTGGTTCCAAGTCTTTGCTATTGTAAGCAGTGCCACAATGAACATACGTGTGCATGTGTCTTTATAATAGATGGATTTATAATCCTTTGGGTATATACCCAGTAATGGGATTAATGGGTCAAAAGACATTTCTATTTCTAGATCCTTGAGGAATCGCCACACTGTCTTCCACAGTGGTTGAACTAATTTATACTCACACAGTGTAAAAGCGTTCCTATTTCTCCACATCCTCTCCAGCATCTGTTGTCTCCAGATTTTTTAATGATCACCATCCTAACTGACTTGAGATGGTATCTCAGTGTGGTTTTGATTTGCATTTCTCTAATGACCAGTGATAATGAGCATTGTTTTATGTTTGTTGGCCGCATAAATGTCTTCTTTTGCAAAGTGTCTGTTCATATCTTTTGCCCACTTTTTGATGGGGTTGTTTGTAATTCTTAACTTGAATCATAGACCTTGGAACAAGTTAGAGGATACTCTGTTGCCTAAAAAGCAAACCTACAAGTATGTTGGTGTGTATATGTGTATGGATCAGTTTGTGTGCTCATTTTGGGACAAGGATCTCTGCATACATAACATTCTCAAAGAATATGACCAAAGAAAGGTAACAACTATCTTTGTGTATTTTATGACTATGTATGTTTGCACTCATTGCAATAAAGTAGGACAAAATGATTTTGAAATGCATATACCTTTTCAGCTTATTGTTTCATTTTTATATCCTCAGATATGACTATATCAAATTGGCCTCAGTTGTTCATCTGTGAAAATGCTCAGTTTGGGACAATACCACATAAATAACTTTTAGATGATCTAGCTCCCCAAATAGAGTCCAGAAGTTCTTTCATATAGGCTGAATATAATAACCATCCTACATACAGAGCTTTATGGAACACATGCTGTTTTTATAGGCCAGGAACCCCTCCAAATGTGTTTGGTAAATGCTCCAAAGTCTCGCAGCTAGAAAAGGACAAAACAAGGATTCAAACCCAGGGTTGCACTTTCTAAGTTTATTCAGTATTCTAGACTAGAATATGGGGATACAATAGTGAACAAAATCACCTTTCCCTCAAAGCTACCTTCTGTTTCAATTTGCTATTCCTTTCACAATTCATCCTTGAGAGCTGAAACCTAAAGCACTCAGAACTGATACTCTAGTTCATTATCATATCAGTTCCATTTTTAGTAACTTCAGAAAAAACAGACCACTTTCTGGCTATCTGGCCTTTTAAGTTCTGATAGGTCTGATGATGATGTGCTAACCATTATGAAAAGACAACCCTTTTTGTGTGTCAAATCTAAGCAAAGACCATGTTTGGGTATTGTCTTTATGAAATGACATCTCAGTAAATTAGAAACAGGAATAAGCTTGTTTAGCACTTAAACCTGTTGATGAAACTTTTCATTTTCCTGAAAGAATTAGAGAATTTGAAAGATACTGTTCTATATTATTTTCCCAAGAAGGGGAAAAGATTGTTAAATTTTGTTGTAGGAAAGTGTGGCATGTCACTTCTTTTTTTTTTTTAATTGCATTTTAGGTTTTGGGGTACATGTGCAGAACATGCAAGATAGTTGCATAGGTACACACATGGCAGTGTGTTTTGCATCACTTCTTATTTAATTATTCAACTTGCCTCCCTTATCTATGGCAACATTTTTAATGTAGCACTTAAGCCTGTTGTCTCTTAAAGGCTACAGGGGCATTTTCACCACTGCTAGTATGACTTTAATATTATTTACTGTACATGGCATGAGTAATTATAAACCCTAACGGTAATGTTGGAAATGTTTGAGGATACATCGAAAGGGTCTCTCACAAATGGGGAGACTGCATTATACTTTGATAGCAGGACATTTTGGAAACCATTACAACTCTGTATTTGGTTTCATTAATGTAATTACATGCCATCTCTTCCACATGCACCCCAAAATATCATACATCTTTATTTTGCTCAAGCCTTTTTTAGTCATGGGCTTGTAGTCTTTTACTTCCACTTGTAACTTGATAACTGAATAGAACAGGGGTTTGCTGGAGTATATTTCCCTGTGCTTCTTTAGGTAATTGACTATGCTATTAAGATAACAGTATTTGCTTACTGATAACTCAAGAAACAGTCGTTTTCCTGGTCTGTGCTAAATTGGATCTCTTCCAGTGGCAGCTAATTTCTTTAACTTCTTGGACATAGTAAGATTTTAATCATGGTAATACTGAAATTGTTTTAAATTTGAAAGAGCAAATTTCCATAATTTCAATGAAACAAATGTGTTTGTGATTTCTAGTCATGTTAAATGAACACACAATTAAAAAGAAAATCAGTAGTGCAAAGAGCCCTGTGCTGGAAATCTCAAAACCTTGCTCTGCCACTTTTAGGGTCCACTGTAGTAGTAATAATAATCACCCTGTCTACTTCACAGGGTTGTTATAAAAGTTGTCAATGATAAAATGGATATAAGTGAGTTTTTAAATGTGCAGATCCTTTTTACACTTAAAAGGGATGCTATAATTTACCCACTATATACACAGAAAAATCATGCCCAGTTATGACTTCCAATAAGCATTTCAACCAAATAGAATCTCTATATGTGGATGTAGTGCTTGAGGTCTGGATGGATGGATAAAAACCAAGTGTACCTTTTTTTTATTCTACCACCAGTCCTGAGCACAGCATTTTGCCTCAGAACTTTTGATTCACCAGGACTTCCTGCATGGGAACAGATGGATTTAGTTCAGCAGCTCCTTTTAATGCAAGTATTTATTTTGCTTGCTGAGAACAAAGGATTATAGTGCCAATAACTCAAGAAAAGGAGCAGGCAAGCCAGGTCTGTAGAGAGAAAATGAACTGGAAAATAAAGTAATTCTGGGGTGAGTTTGATCTGCACTTTAAGTCTCAGAACCACGTGACATGTAGTAATTAAAAATATACCCTCAGTTGCATATTAGGCCTTCCTTTGCGGACCTGGCCTATTTATTTAGCACTGTCTCAAATTAATAGCTAAATGACTGAGCCTCAAATTTGCTGAGCCCATGTATTATTGGCATACATTTGGCAAAGAAAGTAAATGAGAAGGCAAGCAAATGGGTGATTGGGGGAAGCTTGCTGAAGCTCAGTATCTCAAAGTGAGTTGTGGACTCACATTTAATGCTGTAAAGAACCAGTCCATTCTTACCCATGAATTTTATTGCTTTCTGGAACCTCTAGCCCAGAACCACCCCTGATTCGCCAACTTCTCCTCTTTAAATATTATAGTTCATTGTGATGTTTTTTTTCCTGGATCTGCTTTATCATGTGACATCCTTTTGCCTGGGAGGGCAGGTTTTCTCCTTATCTCTTCCATCCATGTCTGTTCTTAGCTAAGAGTTCCAGCCTCAATAAGACTGGATTACTCTTTGGACAGAAGGGCAGACAACCTCAAGGTCAGCGGCAACACAAGTTGGGCCTAGTAGTCAGATTACAAGTGAGTGTGGCTATTCACGAGAATAGTGTAGTGGTGGCATTTATCCTGCTTCCCCTCCATAAATAAACCTGGTAATTTTATTTTTAATGTGACCAAAAAAAGTTGATGCTTCATTAAATGTTTGGCCCTCATCCATTATAATAAATCTCATACTGGAGGTGGAATCTCTCTCCTTGTTTCTTTAATTGAAAGTACTAATGAATTGAGGCCTGGCAGATGATGACTTTAGAGGTCTTTTTTTTTTTATTGTACTTTAGGTTCTGGGGTACATGTGCAGATCATGCAGGATTGTTGCATAGGTACATACATGGCAAGGTGGTTTGCTGCTTTCATTCCCCCATCACCTATGTCTGGTATTTCTCCCCTCCTTATCCCTCCCCACCCTCCCCACCCCCAGCTGTCCCTCCCCTAGCCCCCCCGACAACTGACCACAGTGAGGTTTTTGTTGTTTTTTGAGACAGGGTCTCGCTCTGTTGCCAGGTGCCAGGCTGGAGTGCAGTGGCACGATCTCGGCTCACTGTAACCTCCGCCTCCCCAATTCAAGCAATTCTCCTTCCTCAGCCTCCCGAGTAGCTGGGACTACAGGCGCAAGCCACCATGCCCAGCTAACTTTTGTATTTTTAGTAGAGACGGGGTTTCACCATGTTGGCCAGGATGGTCTCGATCTCTTGACCTCGTGATCCCACTGCCTCGGACTCCCAAAGTGCTGGGATTACAGGCGTGAGCCATCGTGCCTGGCCGAGTTTCTTTTTAAATTTGTTTTTCTTTCTTAAAACATTGAACCTTGTCATTTTTATCTACACTCTTCCACAAATGGCAAAGTCACTTATCTGCAGAATTCCCTGTATCTTCTTTTGCCTTTGTGTACCTGTTAATTACCCGCTCTGAACTGAATTTGAAAAAATTACTTAAAATAACCACATCACCCGTATTTTTGTTTTTGGGGGGATTGGTGAGTAATGTGGATTAAAAGAACAGACTATCCTCTCTTTTTTGTCTTTCTCCTCCCTGTCCAATACTGAGGAAGGAGAGGGAGAAGGGGGTAAAGATGCATGAGGCTTAACTATCCAGGGTTATGAAAACAGTTTGCAAGGACTTCCTGTTTGCTTCCCTTTTGGTTTTTCTTAGTTCCTGTAGGAAATAGTTTACCCCTCTGTGTGTGTGTGTGTGTGTGTGTGTGTGTGTGTGTGTGTGTGTAAGTAGTTGAGCAAAAGAGAATGAGACTGACTTAAGGAGAGTCGATATCTCATATGAAGCAAAAGCTGACATTTAGCTATTAGATAGATCTCAGTGAAAGGCTATGTTCAAGCTAAGTTGAGTAAGTTTATTAAACTTATTTATTAAGCTTGACTGAACTTATTAAAACTTCTGTCAGGTTGAAGCCATTAGTAACCATCTGTAGAAGACAACAGCCATGAGTTTCACAAATACAGAAGCAGTGTGTGATTTGAGCCACAAATGTAAACCACATATGCAATTTTCAGATTTTCTAGTAGCTACATCAAAAAGGTAAAAAGAAAATGATGAAATTAACTTTAATAATATATTTGACTTAGCCTCATATATCCAAAATGTTAGCATTTCAATATGCAATCAATATAAAAACATGAATGATATAGTTTACATTTTTGTACTGAATCTTCAAAATCTAGTGTGTATTTTGTACTTACTATATATCCTCAGTTGAAGTAGCCACATTTCAAGTGTACAAAAGCTGCATGTGAGTTAACTATTGTATTGGACAGTGCAGGGCCTACATCCCATACCTGTTTCCTAGTACTGATAAAGTCTTCCTACCTTCTGTTGTTGTTATGAGAGAAAATGGAAGCAGAGCCTTCCTATTACATGAGTGCTGCAATATTTCCCGAAATGCAGCCCAGCAGTACCAAGAGCTGCCCTGTAGGAAAATTGATTCTGTGATTAAATATGTTATGAAAGTTTTATTATTTTACCCCCTTTATAAGAATACATGGTACAGTAACTTATTAAAGATTGAGAAAACTACCCTGGGTAAAGAAACCTGTTTGAAGTTGTTTAGTTGTTGAGTTCTGGGTCTGTAAGAATCCTGGAAATTGCCACAAGTGTCTCTCCATAAGAAAACCTTTGTGTTTTCCTCTCTTTCTCCACTCCTTTTGGAGACCATTTCTATTTATCTTTGTATTCAGAATCACCTGAGAGCAAAAATATCTCTTGTTCTAGAACAACCACCACCTACATTGAAACCAACAGATGGCTTTAAAGTCTAGCACTTGGACATAGATCTTCAGAAAGTACTCAAATATATCCTTCCTCTTATTCTTTCAGAAATGGTGAACACTCTAAAAAGTTGTGGGGGCGGGGTGGGGGACATTTGAATGTGCATATGTGTAAACACCAAATACAGTTTCTTAAGTAGAGTAATGCAATTCTTGCTGATGCTTTATTTTTATATTTTGTGTGTGGTGTTAATGTACATTCTTAAATGTGTACTGTTCTTGTAATATGTATGAAGTAGCTGTGACATAGCAGTCAGTTTAAAAAAGATATAGACTATACCTGACTACTGTCAATCTATAATAAGTGATCTTTTTGCAACTTCATTTTAGTGGGGTCTCTGATGTCATTCCCATAAGTTTCATTTTAAAATCTATGCTTAAGTGGCAATTACCAATATAATTAATTCTGCATTGCAGACCACTGTATTTGGAAGACAAAGGGACATGCTCACACGGCACAGTGAAATCTTTTCCCACTTGGTGGTGGGTGTATGACAATTAATTAGGTCTGCCTTGGAATAAAAATCTGCTTCCTTATTGGGCTCTGATCTTTTCCCTGAATTAATTACAGTTATAGAGGAATACATTTTGTAGGCAGTTTTTCTGGGAGGTAAGGAATTGGTTCCTAGAGATGATCTTTTCACCATTGGAATTAATATTCTTTCATACTGAATTAATATTCTTAAGTATTAAAAATTTTAAAGACCGTAGGAGCAGTAGAATACCTATGTTCTTGAAAATGCAAAATGTAACATGAGTTACACATAGACTCTCTAGTAGTAGAAATGGAATATTCTAAGTGCAAAAGTTTCGCTTTAGAATCTGATAAGGAAGAACAGCCTAATCTTTAAAAAGATACATCTTTCTCAACTTTGAACATCTGGGGGAACTCTTCTTGGAAGTCCGAATTTTAGTATCTTGAATTTAATGGCTCTAAATTAGCAAACACTAAAAAATAGATTTTGTAGAATCAAATTATCAGGGGGAACACTTTGCAAAGTCCTGTACTTGGGAATATATACTGGGTCAAGCACCACATGTTAGTTTTGAAATCTGTATTTCCCAGTGAATAGAATTCACTCACCAAAAAGCTTTTTTGGCACAATTCACAATACTTACAGAAATATAATTGTATCATTGAAGAAAACAAAGCTCACCTTCCTAATGATACATTTCACAAACAGCACATTAGGGTAATTTCTTAATTACGAGGAGGTATAAAGAAATACTCTGTCAATATAGTATAACTGCTTATTTCTAATTGTATCTAGGAATGAATAACTACCATTTAAAGCGCTATTGAATTTTGAGGAACTGATCAAAGAATTACTGTTATTAATAAAATTGTACTATTTGCAATATATTTGCCTTGGCACAAATGCAGAGTTAAAAACATAAAAATATATTTTAAAATATACCAAATAATAGAGATTTGTTATTACTACTTTAAAATCTTACAAATTTCCATTAGCACTAAATTCAACACCAGTTATCTGTTATATACAAGTAAAATTTTGAAAGACTTGTACACAAAATGAAAGGCTTTTTAAAATTGTCTTTTTGCCAGAACAGGTTATATGACCTCTTGGTAATTGTTATATTTCCTTAGAGGCACTTTGAGGCTCTTTCAAAGACATCTGCAGCAATTAGGTCTAAATTTAGAGTAGAATATTCTGCCAGATATTTTACTATATCACAAAATGTCATGCTACTGTATTTTATAATAAAACCAAATTCTCAAGTATTCTGGGATGTTACATATTATACCAAAACATCTCTTTCTATAAATCTATTATAGTGTACATAATATTTTTTAAAATAATGTGTATTTTGGTCCTAGTGAAAAAATATAATGCAATACATTAATCTTTAGTCAAAACACATTGAGGTGTCTCACAGGGAAACTAGTAACCATAAACTATAAGGTATATATTATTCTCAAGGGCAAAATGACAAATGATAATACAGAAAGAGATGATCACTGGAGCAATTTAGCTGGTGTGCAGACTGAGTGAGCAAGTTGGCTGGTGCGCAGACTAAGAAGGATCAACGTGCAAATGCTCATCAGAATATAGCTTTTGTTATTGGTTGTTCCTGGAGGGGTTAGTACTAGGCAGCTGATATTGCTTCCCTTTCATGTGGGGTGTTTGCTCACGGCCCACTGCATGGTATAGTGAAATCTCTTTATAAGCAAGATAGAGTCTGAAGGTTAGAGATGCATCTTATGGTTTTAAAAACTGCTGTTACAATGTTCTAAACACTGTGATCTTTCCAAATGTGTTTTCTGTATTCGTTTTATACTGTAGAAAATAATTCGCTATAAACTGGACTTTATAGTGTTTAAAGCAATGTTATTTATTGGCTTATTGCCCCCCTTATAATACATTTATGTACAGTATACTTAATGTAAAACCTGTGATAATCCTTTGCCTTAAAATAAAATCCAATGCTAAATATTGAGTGTCCCAATTAATAATTCTAAGCTCCCAATTTTTCCTTTAAAGCTAACCACAGCATCAAGTAAAACATTACACAAATACTCTGTGGAGTGTTGCTGCTGATTCTGTATTTGTCACAGTGTATGTATCTTGGCCCAGGATATGGTGGCCTTCTGGGTTCTATAAATAGATATTAGTAATCCTTTTAGGGAAAGGGCCTGCTACCTCTCAGCTGTTGGCTGAATTTTCTCCTTAACTCATAAATGGATTTTCTCATGCCACATAAAAAACAGAAAGACAGCCCACCATGTTCTCTCCCTGTACCTTTTTTTGGTCTTGATTCCATTTGAATCTTTATATTCTATTGGTTTTTACATTATTTTTCCCAAATAGAAAAATACCAGAGATGCCTGAAGATCAAAATCACCCACTTTCAACAGGGGAAGAGATCTTATAATTACTTAAGTCCAATCCCTTTATGGAACCTGAGTTTTAGAGAGATTTAGTGGCTAGATTGAGGTTTGAGGGACAGGGGTGGGCTGAATACATCTTAATATCAAGAAGATGATGGAAAGTTTGATGGGTGAAAAGGAGTTGTGTTAGTCTTGGTATTAGCACACCAATAAGCAGAGGTCTGCCTTGGAATAAAAATCTACTTCCTTGTTGGGCTCTGATCTTTGCCCTGAATGAATTACAGTTATAGAGGAATACATTTTGTAGGCAGTTTTTCTGGGAGATAAGGAATTGGTTCCTAGAGATGATCTTTTCACCATTGGAAGCAATGCAGACCACCGTATTTGGAAGACAAAGGGACATGCTTACATGGCACAGTGAAAAGTGAAATCTTTTCCCACTTGGTGGTGGGTGTATGACAATATACTTGCACTTTGAAAAGCATATTGTGTGGTCTGGTTATTTTTTAAAGGACCGGAAACGCTGGCCCTTTGAAGAATCAGGCGTTTCCTCGGCCCAGAAAATAGAGTGGGCTAGAAAGGCGTCCCGACTCCATCCAATTCTTGGGCCTGGTGGTTGCAGTTTTTCAAAGGGATGTGAACAATTTCCCAAGAAACCGCCGGCCAAGGGACTCTAGGACCCAGAGGCTGCGCGCGACGCTCGCAGGCCCACGGTATCCTTTTGAGCTCCGGAGCCACGGCGTGAGGTGTCGGAACAGACAACGGTTCGCGGCCCGCCAGGGGACAGTCACCACAGAGACGCAACTGGCACTGTGGGGAGCAAGCGGGCGGGCGGCGCACGGAGCGCGTAGGCGTGTCCCGGCTGGGCCGCGGTGTCCGCCCCACCCCACCACACCCCAGCCAGGTCGGCCGCCCCCTCCCAGATCCAGCTCCAGAGCCGAGGCCGGTCGGCCGGGCCCGCGTGCCCTCGGCGGGCTGCGCAGAGCGCGGGAGTAGTTTGGGGCTGAGCATGCTGGGAGCCCCTCAAGCAACGGCCGCTGCCGCCGCCGCCGCCGCCGCCGCCACCGCCGCGACACAGCCACAGCCACTGCGTCCGCCCCCGGTGAGCGCCGCTGACGCGCGGAGATGAAATTCCCGGCCTCAGTGCTGGCGTCCGTGTTCCTGTTCGTGGCCGAGACAACGGCGGCGCTCAGCCTGAGCAGCACCTACCGCTCAGGGGGGGACCGCATGTGGCAGGCACTGACGTTGCTTTTCTCGCTACTGCCCTGCGCGCTGGTGCAGCTCACGCTCCTCTTCGTACACCGCGACCTCAGCCGCGACCGCCCGCTGGTACTGCTGTTGCACCTGCTGCAACTCGGGCCCCTTTTCAGGTGCGTGCAGAAGTCCAGAGCCAGCCCCAGGCCGTAACCCTCGTCCTCTGGCCTGATCCCCACACCGGCCCGAGTGGAGGGAGGCGGTTTTCCTGTGGAGACAGGTGGCTGGGCCCGAAGGAGGCCCGCCCTGCCCCTCAGCCCCATTATTCCAGTCAGGAGTGTGACGAATCATGGCATAATGGTCATAAACCTGGGGCACAATGCATTCCTGCTGGGTTCCCTCAAATGAAATAGCCAACATTCAACTGAATTTGACCGACAGAAATGGCAGTTTCTTGTGGTTCAGCCTCATTAAAGACACTGCTTTCTCTGGGGTCAAGTAGGCTCTGACAGGATTGGCTTCTGTGGTCACAAACCCTTGGGAAGTGTGTTCTAAGCTGTGGTTATGGGGACAGCATGTACAGGTGATTTAATTTTAATTTATCAAACACATGGAGCTTACTGTGTGCCAAGCACTGTTCTAAACGCTTTTCAAATATTCTCATAGGGAAGTCAGGAAATCCATACACCCTTCTTTTCTCTTGATGGTGTTATGAATATTATGGGATATGGGAACGTAGGGGTTCTAGAAATGTCTTCCAGCCCTGCCGAACTTATAAACATAGCCATTAAAGCTGGTGCACAGTGCACCATGAAGACAAAACTTGCTGTGTGTTAAATAAAGAAAAATTGTTAATGACATTTCTGGAAATTATTTTTTATTAACACAAAGCAAGTAGAAATATATGGTAATAAAAGAGACTGGCTTATCTAAGGAGTTTAAAATGTGTTGTTCCTTTCATCTCTATAAGAGAAGCAAAACAAAGGCTGTTCATCTAGATTAGAAATAAGTTTGTAATGCTGAACCTTAGACATAGGCGACAGACGAATTTGAAGAGATGGAAAGGCCAGAGAGACACCTTAGCTGCCAGAAAATTAGCTAGCCAAGGACCTTTTCGACCAGGAAATCTCTCTCTCTCTCTCTCTCTGTCTCTCTGTCTCTCTCTCTCTCTCTCTCTCTCTCTCACACACACACACACACACACCTCGAGTAGCAAGATAAATTTTACAAACTTATAATATATAATTTTTGAGACAGGTTCTTGCTTTGTCAGCCAGGTTGGAGTGCAGTGAATATCATAGCTCATTGGCTCCTTCACCTCCTGGGCTCAAGTGATACTCCGCTCTCAGTCTCCAGAGTAGCTAGCACTTTAGGCAAGTGCCATCATGCCTGGCTGATTTTCTTTTTTTTTTTTTTTTTTTTTCTTTGTAGAGAAAGAGTTTCCCTATGTTACCTAGGCTGGTCTCGAGCTCCTGAGCTCAAGTGATCCTCCTGCCTGGGACTATCAGAGTTTTCCCTATGTTGCCCAGGCTGGTCTGGAACTCTTGAGCTCAAGTGATCCTCCTGCCCAGTCCTCCCAAAGTGCAGGAATTAAAGGCGTGAGCCACCACAGCTGGCCATAAAACTTTTGCACTTCATATTAGAGAAAACTGTTCCAGCTGACACACAGACTACTGACTTGTAGTTTACACACAGTCACAGCAAACTTGGTGAACAAGTTTCTCAGCCTCCAGAAGCTGCAGAACCCTAGTAATGAAAACAAACAGGTACACTGGCAGGAGTTCAGTGGGAAGTTGCTACTGATTTCCTGATAGCCTGGGAAGAGTCTGGGGTAAAAGAAAGGGAGAGACGGGAATTTTAAAAGTCCTGCAACCCGGAGCCATTTAGTGAGGAGAGATTTAGTCCTCCCTAGTCAAGTGAGTCCTGTGGTCCAGACAGTTTTCCCACTCAGTAAAATAAATGTGGTCTGACTTGGGCAGGGTAGTCATCATTTCTTAACCTTATCTGTGAAAAGAAAACAGATAATGTTTAAGTGGAGTAACAGTAAAGGGGGAAGTGACATTTCTTAAAAGCTTCTTGTGCTAGATAGTTTGGTATGTACTTACATGCCTCAATTCACTGAATCCTCACCATGCCATACATGTAATTGTCCCCATTTTGTAGGGCAGGAAAATGAGGCCTCAGACTATGTTCTCAAGGCTCCTTAAAAACAGAGTGGAGTTAATTACGTTCCCTATGCTCAGTGGAAGAGAGCAGAGGACTGTGTAGTACATTCTATCAGTAGTATCATTTTAAATTAAGAACAAGTTTGGTCATCTTGGCAAAATTAAATAACCACAACCTAAATAGGTATCCAAATAAACGTAATACCCTATCATTGCTACCATTTAAAATGTTTCTAAACACCAAGAGTAACCCAAGACAAAGCTAATGACATAATATATATAAAAACAGGATGACAAGTATAAACCTGAACTCAAGAAAACATACCGAGATGTTAAGAATAGTAATTTCTGAATAGTGAGGTTATAAGTGATATTAATACTCTGGAAAATATGTAAAACTATATAATAAAACAATTATATGCTTTTCTATATTTTTCCATTTTTAGAGTAAAAATATTTTAACTTTTTAATGGAAAGAAAACTTTTGGTGCTTTGAAGAAGTAACTTCTCAGCTATATATAAAGTTTCAACACTATAAAAATATCTATTTCCAGAAAGTTCTGAATGAACTATTGTCTTCTTGGAGCAAAAACAAAATAAAAGATAAAAACCAAAACAACAGGCAACCCCCTTCCACCAATAAAGAGTCTCTGATTCTAATGCAGCTGATTTATTTCAAGGAGATATTGGACCCATGACCTTAGAGCTGAGATAAACAAAATGTGGTTCCAAGTCTCTTAGATTCCAGATTAAAAGAAAAGCAGTTTGTTCTTGTATATTACCCTGACTTAATATCTTGCTGGAATTTCTTCCTGCTGACTGATTCTGTTTTAACTCTAAGACATCAACTTTACATAAAGATAAATATTCTTTCCCTCAAACAGAGGAGAGTCATGGTGTTTCTTACCCCCTTCCTTATGGATTAGATTTAGTAATATTTCTAAATTGTTTTTTTTGACAGTTTAACTCTTCTTACCTTTGGGTGAGTACTAGCCAAACTGATGTTTTTGCTAGGTAGATGCTGTGTTTGAGGGTTCATGCAGCACGATGGCCCAGTTAAACTGCAAGAGATTACACTAATGATTCTGGGCTAAATACTACTAATTAGGCTTTGCTCCTTCTTTTCTTTAGGGAGGCATAGAGAGAGCACCATATTTCATTTGTATCAGTCTTGTATTTAAAATGGTAGTTGCAACTTGTATGATTGTTTTGGCATTAAGCCTGAGATTGAATGATACAAACTTTGGATAATTCCTTGAATTTATTTATAATTTTAAGGAAAATCTTATTGTGCGTTAAAATAGATACTCTAGCAAACCAGAGCAGGGAAAAGATCTCTTACCCAAAACACAAAAAATTTTAAAATTCTGTTTACCATTCTTTTACATTTATTCTAATTTTCATAAATTAATTGGGAGGAATAAATATAATTGAGTTACAAGTTCAGGGATTCCCCTCATCTTTTTTTTATTGCTGGTATAGTGAGGAAAAATGGTACATGAAAAATCTGAGTTTATAAAATAAAGGCTAAGAAGTTCTCAAAATCTTTTCCAGAATATTGCAAATGATTCATCATAGTATATCCTTCTTCTATAAACTTTTGAAAGAATTTAAAGTATTAATAGTCTACATTTGAAGAGCATTTTTTTTTCATTTGCAAAGTACTTTTACATACGGTATTTAATTTCATCCATGGTAAAACCATGTGAGTTAACTATCATTATCTTATTTTTACAGTCCAGGAATTGAGGTTCAATGAGATTAAGCAAGTAGCTTTTCAAAGGTTTTGCAGCATTTTCCATTTAACCAATTTGGGTTTTGTGTAGGCTTACAGAGCATGTGTGTCATGTGCAGATAATGCGGCTTATTGGAAGTTATAGTATTTCTTTGGAAAACATATTTTAATTAGGGTCTCTGATACCATGGATTATTTATGCTGGCATCAACATGCATGATTTCAGCTAAGGAATAAGCTCCTTCTGCTATGATGCTTGAAAAATGGGATATATGATGCTTGAAAATAGGATAAAGTGAAAAAGAAGGATCAACCTGCTGATTATCTGTATTGGGGTTGGCAAACTGTGCCCCACAGGCTAAATACCCTCATCACTTGTTTTTGTAAGTAAAGTTTTACTAGAACACAACCTTACCCACTGGTTTATGTATTGGCCACAACTGCTTTCATGTCGCAGAGACAGAATTGAGCAGTTGTAACAGAGACTATGGCCTGCAAATCATAAAATATTTACTCTTTATAAATACTTCACAGAAAAGTTTGCTGTCCCTTGGTGTACATGATACTGAAAAACTATCTTGAATATTCAATTTTGATAAAAGTATCTTAATTTCTGGCTTTATTTAGACAACCTCTCAAGCAACAAACCAAAAAAAAAAAAAACAAAAAATAACAGATTTTGAGTAATTATGAGTCTTGCAGAATTCCAAGAATAGTAGTTTGTTTCTTATCAGTTTTCTTAATCAACAGTGGCAGGAGATCATGGAGCCTTTTACAAATGTGTTAAACACCTATGACTACATGTAAATGTCTGTGCTAATACAAAAGTCTCAAGTCTCACCTGGGAAAAACAGGCTCTTATAAGAGGTTCCACCTGAGCTTTAGGACCTTCTTTCATTTCCATCAAATGACCATGAAAGTTTTACTTTGTTTACAATTCTGCAGAATGCTTCCAGTTTCATACAGCCCCTTCCCTGGCATCAGGAAAATTGCTTTCTCCTCTCAACCCTCATTTAATTCATTCAGTTCTTAGCACGTGCTGGTATTTAATTTTTTTTGTTTTAGTCTTTCAAAACTCTAAGCTTGATTTTATTATGCAAGTAAGACATTTTTTGAATGACAGGAGAGCAGAAAACAGATATGCACAATGAGGCAAAGAAAAGCTCTAATTCGACTGCTCAGAGAGAACAATTCCTAATTTTTTTTTGTTGTATATACTTACTAATATTTTTATAATGGTATGCTGGTAAACTGTCTCTTGGAGAAAACAAGCCTGGATTTTCCGTGTTTGCTGATTTCTTTAATTCATATATTCCCATCATGATTATCAAGCTACCGATTGTTTAACAACTGGCTCACAAAATTCCTATTTAACAGTCTGCTCTCTTGAGTCAGCATGAGCCAGCTCAAACAGCCAGGTTGCTGTTTATATGTATGTGTATTTGTGTGTAATCTGTATATATTTTTATATATGTGATTTTCTTTTTACAGAAAGAAATGAAATTTAAAATATATGATTCTATTGTAATTTGCTTCTTTCACATGCCAAATATGGTAAAAATATTTAGCTTTGTCAACATAGTGAGATTGTTTCCTCACAAAAAACAAAATTAGCTGACACAGTAGCATGCATCTGGAGTTCCAGCTTCTTAGGAGGCTCAGGAGTGAGGCTTGAGGCCAGCAGTTGGAGGCTGCAATGAGTTATGATCATACCACTGCACTCCAGCCTGGGTGAGAGAGTGAGACAGACATTTTTAAAAATTTTGTATATTGGTATATGTACTTCTATACCATTGATGTTAAGGACTGTATAATGTTTCATTGAATTTATATATTAGGAATTATTTATTCTTTCATTTTGGGTACCTTTAGCGTATTCCCAGAATTTTTCTATTACACATAATGCTATGATTTAAATTGTTGCAATATATTTTCTTCTAAGTGAGATCATAGATGATAAAATATTTCACAACTAAAAGTGCTATATAAATATTAATTTTCATTATTTATTATTCTTATTGTGCATATGTCCCACTATCCCATTTAGATTGTGAGTGCCCCAGAATGAGGCAGGAGTATCCTGCTATCTGCATTCCTCACAGCACTTAGTAAATTGCATCTTCATTCATCTTATATTTGAGAATAAAGATGATTATCAGTTTATTACGTTTTTTTTTCTTTTTTTTTTTTTTAGACGGAGTCTCACTCTGTCACCCAGGCTGGAGTGCAGTGGTATGATTTCAGCTCACTGCAACCTCCGCCTCCTGATTTCAAGTGATTCTCCTCCCTCGGCCTCCTCATTAGGTAGGAATACAGGGGTGCACCACCATGTCTGGCTAATTTTTGTATTTTTAATAGAGATGTGGTTTCGCCATGTTGGCCAGGGTGGTCTCAAACTTCTGACCTCAGGTGATCCACCTGCCTCAGACTCCCAAAGTGCTGGGATTACAGGCGTGAGCCACCACGCTCAGTCAGTTTATTCTGTTTTCTAATCCTTGTTTTGGTCAGTGGTCCAACAGTGTGAAGTTGCTAGGCCCTATACAATCTCAGTCATTAATTTGAGTTTTCCTTCAGAGAAAATTCAACTGGACATGCTTGGGATTGAACTCATGGCCTGAACTTCATTGACATTATTTCCAACTGAAAAAACTGGTCTATATGGTTTTACATGTTTTCATGTAATATATTAAAGTATTCTTGACCCCGTGGGACAAAATGTACTATACAAATCAACCCCCACTCCCACACCCCCACACATTATGCACCTTCTTTGCCCTAGCAACAAATGAACAATGGTATTGATCACAACATAAGTCCACTTCAAACTCACCAGAAAGGTTCCTGCATTTCCTCTCTTACATCAAGCTTTATTTTATTATTTCAAATTATAAATACATTCTAGTTGCTATAGTTCCCTCAGGGTAAGAGTATAAAGTAAACATTATAACATTAACATTTAATGAAATAGATAAAGCCATTAAAATCTTCTGGCAGTATCATAAGGTTGTTATAAAAGTGCATGTTAGAGGATGGACAAAAAGTCCTTTAACAAGTTTTAAACCTGAGACCATGAGCATTTTTCTTACTCTTTAGGAAAACACATTTTTCCTCCAGAATTTTATTATGAAAATTTTTAAACACACAGAAGAAAAGCTGAAGGAATTCTATAGTGAACACCCAAGTACCCACCACCTAGATTCTATAATTAGCATTTTGTTTCACATATTTATCCATCAATTCGTGTGTGTGTGTGTACTTCAAAGTTAATCACAGACATCAGTACTAATCCCCCTTCAGCATCTATATTTTTACCTAGAGAGGAAATCCAAATTTTAAAACCCAGGTATTCTCAGTCTGGAAAGGTCACTGGTTAAGGCTCCATCCCTAGGTGGGATTGACTTTAGTCCTGCTCTGTAAGGTTTTATGAAAACAGACAGTTAGGTAATATATTGTGGTCTCCCAGTGAAATGCTAGATGGCAGGCTGCCCTGTGCTGGACCATTTCCAAGCCATAGCTTCTGCTTTAACTGGGGTGGTTTTGGGGCGTTTTTTGGATGTGGAACACGCATACACATGTTTGCGTGCATGTGCAGAGTCACACTGTATTATCACCATTTTTCACAGCAATATGACAAAGTGGGTAATATATCTGCTTCATAGTGGAGGGAATGCACAGGACCGGGGTTAGTAAACAACTTGGCTGTGGCTACACAGCTAGTATGCACATTTTTTCTGTGGCTCTGGAGCCAGAACCGCTTTCCATTCTCTAAGACATTTCCTTGCTTCAGTGTTACCTCTTCATTTGGTTCTCATTCAATTCCCATTGGCCTGCTGGAAAGCCTCAAGAGGACTGCATACTGAGAATTGGTCCTTGGAGTGGTTGATTTAGAAGAGTGGTTGATTTAGAAGACTACAGTTCAGAGTAGCCAAGTCAAGGCTTTGAGAATCAAGCTAAAAGTAAGTAGGATGAGCATGAAACGTCAGAATCCTGACTGTCTCTAATTATTATGACTTGCTGATTTGTTTTCAGGTGTTTTGAAGTCTTCTGCATCTACTTTCAGTCAAGCAACAATGAAGAGCCTTATGTCAGTATCACCAAGAAGAGGCAAATGCCAAAAAATGGCCTCTCAGAGGAGATTGAGAAGGAGGTGGGCCAGGCAGAAGGCAAGCTAATTACCCACAGATCAGCATTCAGCCGGGCATCGGTGATACAAGCTTTCTTGGGCTCAGCCCCCCAGCTGACCCTACAGCTGTACATAAGCATCATACAGCAGGACGTCACTGTTGGAAGAAGTATGTATATTTTTTATTTCTGCCTGCATTTGGGATCAAAATGAGAAGCAAAACATACAGTTTACTTTGTTTCAAGTGAAATTTGTTCATAAGTGTATTTAATTCTGAATCTGTGTTCTAGTTACTATGCTCAAAACTCAGTTAAAATAACAACATTTATTTTGCTTATGACTGCATTCTTGGCAGGGCTCAAAAGGGTTATCTCATCTGTCATCCACTGTGGATCAGCTAGGGTGGCTCAAAGGTTGGGGGTTAGAATCTATTGAAGGCACCTTCACTCACATGTCTTTCTGCTCACGTGTTTTGATATTGGCTGTTGCTGGGAGTCTCAGAACTTCTCCATTTGATTTCTCAGGGTGGGCGAGTTTGGGCTGCCTTAGAGCATGGTAGCTGCTTCCAAGGGTGAGTGTTCTAAGAATGAGGGAAGGCCAGATGGAAGCCCTATCAGCTTTTGTGATCCAGGCTTGGGAGTTATGGGACATCATTTCTGCTTCCTTCTCTTTGTTGATGTAGTTACAAAGTTCTGCGCAGATTCAAGGGAAGGGAGAGAAATGTAAATCAAAAATACTCTTGTGGCCATTTTTAGAAAACATAGTTTACTAGAGGCTGAAAATTCAACTACTAGAGGCTGGTCCTCTTGGGATTTCACTCTGTCTTTCAGTGCTAGTTCTAAACTAGTTGAGACAGTTGGCTTAACAACTTTGTCATGAATCATGAAACAAGGCCACTTTCCTGTCTTCTTAGAGTTGCAATAGGTATATCAGTTTATAAGTCAACACAATATTTCTACCTTTGGGCTATTCTCATATCATCAAATAAAGAGCAGATTTGGGTTAAGTTTTCAAAAAAAATTTGCATCAGAGTCAAGACTTTAATGAAAAGCCTACAAATGAGAAGTGGAAACAACCCCTCCCAAGTATTCATATTATGGGTAGATGAAACCGTTCTGGTAAGTTTTACTTTGGGTATACAAAATGATTTTAAAGACTTAAGTTGGCCAGGTGCAGTGGTTCACGTCTGTAATCGCAGCACTTTGAGAGGCCAAGGTAGGTGGATCACCTGAGGTTGGGAGTTTGAGACCAGCCTAACCAACATGGAGAATCCCTGTCTCTACTAAAAATACAAAATTAACCGGGTGTAGTGGTGCATATCTGTAGTCCCAGCTACTTGGGAGGCTGAGGCAGGAGAATCACTTGAACCTGGGAGGCAGAGGTTGCAGTGAGCTGAGATCATGCCATTGCATTCCAGCCTGGGCAACAAGAGCGTAACTCCATCTCAAAAAAAAAAAAAAAAAAAAAGCCTTAAGTTGAAAAACTACATATTTAAGAAAATGTTGAATATAAGAAAGACTCTTATTTATTTTACTTCACTCAATTTTATCCTCCTTCTGCCTATATTTTAGACTGGCTAGTAGTAATTCATGGCAGAGTCACAGGATACTTACATGTTAGAGCCATCTCCCTTATCCAGGTTGCCTAGCTATGATTCTTAAAATATGAGTCAGGATTTTAAGTAGAGATCTTGAACCTTGGCAGATCAACATTTATTTGTAAATACTTTCCAAAACACCTGGTAGGGAGTAAAAGCTCAATAAATATAGCAGCATCCTTATTCCCTAGGGAATTATAACTGGAATGGGTCTTGACCAAGATGCATGCCACTGTATTATTTTTCCCAGTTTATTGTTTTTCCAAGTGACAGGGATACAGCAAGAAATCAGATGTGATGATAGTCTATTTGATTTTTGCAGGTAGATCCAATATTTTTCCTCAACTTTTTTTAGTGAAGATTGTCTCATAGTTGAGGAGTTGGCAAACTACATCCCATGGGCCTAATCTGGGAACTGCCTGTTTTTATCAATAAAGTTTTGTTGGTACAAACCCATGCCCTTTCATTTATGTATTGTTTGTGACTGTTTTGGGACTAAAACAACAGTTGAGTAGTTGCAATAAACATTACATAGTCCACAAAGCCTAAAATATTTACTAACATTTTACAAAGAAAGTTTGCCAACCCTTGATATAATTTTTCAGACATAATTCTGTTCAGGAAAAAGAAAATCTATCTTGTAAAATGTCAGTGTCACAAGGGGTATCTGAAATGTCCCAAAAGAATTTGAAAAAATGTAAGTCCTCTGAGAGTTAAATGATAAATCAAATAGATTTGGAAAAAGGAAGTGGACATGGTCTTGTTAAAAAGATAGATGGAGCCTGTAATCCCAGCACTTTGGGAGGCCGAGGCGGGTGGATCACGAGGTCGAGATATCGAGACCATCCTGGTCAACATGGTGAAACCCCATCTCTACTAAAGATACAAAAAATTAGCTGGGCATGGTGGCACGTGCCTGTAATCCCAGCTACTCAGGAGGCGGAGGCAGGAGAATTGCCTGAACCCAGGAGGTGGAGGTTACAGTGAGCCGAGATGGCACCATTGCACTCCAGCCTGGGTAACGAGCGAAACTCCATCTCAAAAAAAAAAAAAAAAAAAGATAGATGGCTGCCATTTATGCAGGTCTTGACTAACCCCAATCACTTCCTTAACATGTCTAAGGAAGGAGTATCTCACCCAGAAGGGGTAAGACCTTTATGAATGAAGCATGGTCTAGGATGTGCCACAGAGGCAAATGTTGATAGTGTCTGTCATGTGGTTAGAAATGCATTTGGTACAAGGAACAAACACCTAACTCTAGAGTTAACCTAGGGTTTATTTTTCTTATGTAACTAGAAATTGGAAATAGTTACTGACATTATTTCAGCTGCTCAACATTGGCAAAGTTGATGTCCCTGCAAATCCATTGGCCTTTTGCTTGGGTTGCTACTGCATTTCCAACCATCATGGCTACATTCAAAACAGGAAGAAGAGCTGAAGAAGGAAGGCTAGTTATCTTTCTCTTTTTATTAATGACTATAGTTTTTCCATAAATCTCCCTAATAGACTTTACTTTGTCTTCCTCCTTTTATTAAAAACTATAGCTTTTCCAGAAATCTCTGTAACAGAAATGGCTTTAGACCTCTGACCAGAACTGATCAGTCATTTAGCTGCAAAGGATGCTAGGAAATCCAGACCTAGGAATGCTTGCCACCAATGGCTTAGACCAGTATTCCTCAAACTTCCCTGGTGATGATTAGAGTTACCTGGGGGCTTGTTAAATATATAGATTACTAGGATTATCTCTGGAAATCGTGATTTACTATGTCTGGGATGGAAGCCAAGTTTGTCTTTTCTTTTTATTTCCCTTTTGTTCCTTAAGCAAGGGCTCCTGGTGATTTTATTATCAGCAAAGTTTGAGAACATTGGATTAGACTAGTCATGGCCTGTCTGTGGTTGGGCCCATTGCCACCCATAACAAAACTATATTCTCTTAAGATAGTGAGAGGAATGGAAAATAAACAGGCAACTAACAATGTCTACCACATCATCTAAATGCAGTCCAGACCAATAGAAATGTGTCCCTCCTGACAGAAGGACATAGAGTCTATCACAACCTGACCCTATTCAGCATTCAAATTCTGTAACTCTCTCCTCTCTCTCTGATACTATGCTCATTGAGCAAACATTGATGGATTTGGCATTGGCAGAGTTTGCTGTGAGGCAGAGAAGGTAGAGCAAGCTACATGGTCACTGTAGAGTTATTGTTTTTCTTCAATTGTAATGTAATCCATATAACATAAATTTCACCATTTCAGGTGTACAATTCAGTAGGTTTCAGTATATTCACAATGATATACAGTCATCACCACTATCTAGTTTTAGAACATTTTCATTACACCAAAAAGAAGTCCTCTACCCATTAACAGTCACTCTTCATTTCCCTTGCCCCTAGTCCCTGGCAACCTACTAATCTACTTTCTAGCTCTATGGATTTGACTATTACGAATATTTCATATCAGTGGAATGGGAAGTTTTCTTTCTCATAGTCAATGAACAGACACCGTGTCATGAGCTTCAGTCTTGAGTGAGTTTGGACATCCTGGGATTCCCTGAGTCTAATCAGTTCTCAGCAAGGCCTTGCTCAAGTTTCTGGATCTTGGAGGATGGATTGGACCCAAGTCTAGGTGAGCACACCAATGTTACTGTGCTTTGTGATGGCCCCTGCAGCCTGCCATTTTGCTGGCCTGGCCTTCACAGTGCCCTTCTGCATTCCACTCAAAGTGGTAATGTAGATAGTAAAAATGTCTGCTTCATGAACCCTTGCTTTGTGCCAGGCACTGTGATAGGCCTCCTTATGTTTCACAGTGTCCCTGAGGTAGATAATATTATCTCCATCTTACTAAAGAGGGCAATTGGGCCAGACACAGTGGTGGGCAAATTGCTTGACCCCGGGAGTTTGAGACCAGACTGGGCAATATGGCAAGACCCCACCTCTACAAAAAATACAAAAATTAGCTGGGAGTGGTGATGCACACCTGTGGTTCCAGCTACTCAGGAGGATAAAGCAGGTGGATCCCCTGATCCTCTGGTCCTGGGAGGACCTTGTCTCAAAAAAGAAAAGGAGGAAACTTTTACTCATAGTCTGCCAGAAAAGCCAGAATTTGAGGTTAGATTTGTGTGACTTTAATTATGGACTCAATGAGTATTTCCTGGGTATGTTCTGTGTTTCAGACCCTGTGCTGGTCTCTGAGGATAAAGTGGTGAATAAGATAGACAGACCCCAATCATCTTAGAATAGGATATATAAACATCAGACAAATTATTAATCTGTCGCATATTTTATTTAAGGTAAATCCTGCAAAGTGAAAGATAAGTGCCTTTCTGAGGGTAAATTGGTGGGTATCTAACCAAGTTTGGAAAATGAGGCAAAGCCTTCTAGAACATAGGTTTAAACTGAAAACTGGTAGATGAAGACAAGAAGCCAGGCTGAAGAAAAAGCAGGAAACAGCATCCCAGATTTCAAGCTTTATTCCAGAGGCAATGGGAAGACACTGATGAGTTTTAAGCAACACATTTCATGATCAAATTTAGTTTTAGAAACTTATTACTCTGCAAAATGGATTGGAAGA